CATGAAATGCTCTTTGGATACTGAATATATTGATCAAAATAAGACATCAGTGTGTTAAATATGTTTGTATTCTAAAATAACAAGTATCACCATCAGGAATTCATTTATAGCTGCAGCATTGCAAAAGTGAAGACAAAAATCCAAAGGGGAGTGAAAAGCATAACAGCTAGGGCCCTGCTAAGTTTGTGATTTCATATAGCTGGTGTGAAGGGAGCGTACTGGCACACTGTACGCTTTGAGTGGATTGTCCAGGAAAGAGCTATATAAACTAAGGAATTATTATTATTAAATATTTTGCAATGTACATTTCTTATTGTAAAATGCATGATGCAACTTGAGCAAACAGTAACTCTGCATGATATAGAATCTCTGTGCTTGATGTTCACCTGTCGATGCATGATGTCAGATGATGGGATTTGCAATGTTTGTTTTTCCTGACTTCTCTCTGGAACCCCAAATTGACAAAATATCCATGCATTTTGATCACTCAGAATCTTGGATGTGGTACCTTGTATTCTACATTTAGTGAGACAACCAATCTTTTGGAAAGCAGGACAAAACTAAGCATATTTAACTATACTCCACTTTTCTCTTTTCTGCAAAGACACATTAGGACAAAAACAGTCAGTTAATACAGATATGCATACAAATGGTGAGACTGATGTGATGTTGATAGCAAGTCACACATTTGCTATTTAATTGTAACGTTGAGAGTAGTGGAATTTGGCTTGTTTTTAATCTATAAAGGTGTTCTGAAATACAGAAGAACTTTTGGGGAACTATTAACGTATTATAAGGAAGTACAGTTTGAAAAACAATTCTAATCACAGAGGCTGTTTTGCAAACAAGTTTCCCCAAGATTATTTTCTGTGAAAACAAAAGCATAGTAAAAATCCTTAATGTTACAGAGGTTTTACATTACTTAAAGTTGTCTTAATTAATTTTCTGAAAATAATTCAGTTGAAGTTTTTAAAAATGAATGCACTTATTTAATAAATATAATTACCTTTTCTGTATTTTTCCTTCTTTGCTTCCAGTAGAGTATATTTATACAACAATTTAGGTAGAGCCTTAACAATGTTTGTCACTGAATGTTGATATAAGTAGGAATCCTTTTTTTCTCCCCCACAGGATAATGCTCTCACTCGGCTTCTGTCTTTGGTATCAGATGTGGAAGAGCTGTCTAAGCAAATTCTACAGTGGAAGGATCTACAGATTAATGCCCCAAAACAATCACCAGAAAAACACTAACAATGCAGAAAGTATACTTCTAAGCACCTCTAGTATTATCATCATTAATACAGGAATCAGTTTAAAACAGGATATTCATAGTTTTTGTACACTTATTACTTTTACTTATTACTGACTACTACTCATAATTGAAGTGTTAGCATTGTGTTTACAATAAGTAATTTGGGACCACATCTTTTGCCTTAAAAACAATCAAGAGGAAGACTTTTTTTAACCAACGGTATGTTCCTTGATATTCTGTATTAATACATTTTACGGTTTCCACTGTTATGACTCATGCTTATTGGCTAATGATATTTTAAAATGTCTTCTTATTAATCTCTTTTATAAATAAATCCCATGCAGTTTTAACTATTGCTTTGCTGGTACAGTCCATTTATTCAAATATTACTTAAGATTTTTTTTAATGAGATTGTTTTTCATGATTTATGCCATCTTAAATTATCGTAACTGTCCAGAGAACAATTGTGTGTACAGTAGATCCTTCTTGTTGACACATGCCTGAAGGAGAAGTTGATCCTCTTTGTTTGTGTAATTAGACATGGAATTCAATGGAGAGGTGTCCCTGTGGTGTAGTAATAGAATCTCCTGTAGCTGGGCTTGAAGACCGGAAGGTATCTGAAAAGGACTGAAAGCATGGAGAAATTCAGTGACACGATTCACACTTTGCTGTTTGAATGAAAAGGATATTTTTTTTAATGGGAAAAAAAAATATGACAATACTCTATCTGTAGCTCCAAATAGACTTGAAAAACAAGTGAAACTTGGCTCCCGTTATCTTCAAAATATATGTCACTTTGATGGAAATGGGAACAAACAGATGAATGGAGTACAGAAACAGAAAAAGGATGTGGCACCTGGGTTTTGGTCTCATCAGTAGACTGCCTTGAATCAGGTGGCAGGGTAGTGGGCTGTGGGTTATGATGTTCTGGAAGAGATATGGTTTATTTTCTGTGAGTCGTGTTAAAGTTGAACATATTCTTTCAAAAATGAGTTGGAACAATTGTGCGGCCTTGTGTTTTCTTCCTAGTTTCGCTGACCTGTGTACGAGTCCTCCAGCAACCGAGCCATATCTGTGTGTGTGAACTGTCTGCCTGGATCGCTGGCCAGGTCAAGGTGTCGTTTCTGCTGCATGTGTGTTTCCTCCAGCTCCTCCAGCATGAGAACCTTCTGAGTGATGACACCTTTTGTGCACAGTTTGTCTACCTTTAGAGAGGAAATAGGCTACCGTTTAAATAACAAACACTCTTTACAGCTGAGTAGTATTTTGTTTCTTCCAGTTTTTTTAGGTTCTAGCACAATCGTAAGAAGAAGCTACCTGTTCCTTGATTTTACAGATTGTATCCTTGTCATTATTCAGACTACAGCCATATGTTCTTAGGACATCAGCAATTTTCCTGCAGAGAAAGGATATACAAATGGAGATATACCGCAGCATGGCAATATGAAATTGAATATGCCTGGAAATGTGCCCCTCAAAGAGATTATTTTGTACAAATACAAATATTGGAATGGAAATTAAATAGTGCTTGCCTTTTAAAGGGGTATGCAAAATACATTCTTACCATATAAGGATTGCGATTATTATTAGTCCATGTGTATGCCTTACCTCTGTACCTCTGGGTTGGCCTCAAGGATAAGGCGTTCCTGCAAGAAGTGCTGTAGCTCAGGCCCACTTACACACAGGGCTTTGATGGCATCACATGTGGCGATACGAACCCTGGGCTCCTCCTCATGGTGTAGTGCCCAGAGGAGGTGCTCCTGGACAGCAGGTGTCAGACAGCCAATCTTACCCAGGGCTGACACACAGGAGTGAGGGAAAATTAACTACATCAGAAACCCTAAATCCAAACATACTCCACTTTTCCTTTAGCACAATCCAACAGCTGCTGCTGGCTTGTGGCACACCACTATGAAAGTGACTGGCTTCCCCGTCTCTAAAGTCTCAATCAGTGTTGGGCCTGCCTCCAGCCTGAAAACTGTGGCTGTGCAGAACAGGCCTTGGAGGTTTGGTGATGAGCAAAATCCAATTATATAAAAACAAGGATACAGCAGAATGTAACAGGAATTGTAAGTCTTGGGCAAAATAGGTAAAAAGTTTTAATTATGCATTTAATTAATATTGTGGATTTTGAATATGACTTTTCATCTAGGGGGATACCAATACAGTTGGGAGGTTGGGTGTTCCACTCATCAACTACAGTAGATCCCACATCTATATGTTAAAGGGCACATATTCTGTGCCAACAGCTCCACCATGCAGTAAGTAAGGTTTGAAAGAAATAAACTTCTTCTTAATTCACGGGTGGGATTTGCGTAGGCTAGACCAAGAAAGCCTGAACTGGAATTTAGCTTGGGCAGTGTGGTTTGCATAATTTTAACAGTGAAAGATTAGACTGTTAAAAAGACACCTGTTGATTCTAAATATCAAAGGTGTTATTCTACAGTAAACGCAGATAAACCGCTTTAAATTTTCCCAAGTTTTGGTCATATTGCACAGTAAATGTCTTATCTCACCAGAAATGGCTCTGACTCTAACTTCCCACAGTGGGTCAGTCTGCATCAAATGAATCAGATGATTTAAAACCTAGAATTGGGGGAGAAATATATTAAAAAAAAATATTTAGAATATTTTGTCCCAGTTTTACATTAGTCTCAACCTGATTACTAATGTACATAAAGTTATACAAATGAGAATGAAATTATCTTGCAGTTTTATTTTCATTTTTCTCTTGTCCTAAGAATAGTCTGTCAATCAACCATAAAAATGTTATTAATCTTTATTGCAAACAAAAATAAATATACAGAATTCTAAGCTAAGAGATTATCCTAGTAGAGTTTCTAGTTATTCAAACATGGAATCTGCAGTTTCACCTTATTTATTCAGTGAATTTAATTTGCTTAACTTTTGTTAATCTGAGCCCAGTCCAGCCCTCACCATTTCATCCTTTATACCGAGCGCAGCAGCAGTCTGACAAGCCTGTTTGCGCACAGCTGCATAGTCATCGCTGAGGCAGCACAGGAATGCTGGTAGCAGCTTAGCTGTCATGATTTCCAGCTGAGCCAGGAGAGACAGCGCCTCTACACGCCAGCTGGGGGGGGCTTCTTCCAGCTTTTTCCTGAAAAGATCATCAGGATCAATTCCAAAAACCACCATCAGCATCTCTTTTTTTTTCACCGAGAGAAATAGCTCAATCCAGTAACCTTGTGACCAGTCTGTCCTCCTAGCCCATGACCATGCCATACCTGAGTTCATTGTGCACTTCCTTGCCCAGCTCCATCTTTCCTAGTGCCCGAGCAGCAGCCAGGCGCACGTTCCTGTTCCAATCATTCCACATCAGGAATACTAGCTTGTTAGCTATGTCCTAAAACACAACCACACATAAGAGCTTTCCATAGGAGGTTGTCCTAAAATGCTGCAAAAACATCTGAATGAGATGTAAATATAATCATTTGTGCGTGATAACTTTTGTGTGCAGGCTAAAATTAAATTTGATCATGTAAACATCTACGTACGTACGTACAAGTTTACATCTTTACAGTATATGAGATGTGATCATTCTGTTTTTTATTAAGCACGTTTACTGTTTTAAGGCTGGATGGAGGTTTTAATCTTTAATAATAAGGTTTAGTTTTGCTTACTTAGTTTTGATACTTTCTCCTTTAATGCAGAGACCAAGGTTTTTTTATTATTATTTTTGTGTAGAATGACTCGATGCGCATGAACAGAATAAAGAGGAATTAACTCAGTGGAATGTATATTTAAGCATGAAAATCTCTTAAGTTACATGCTTTGTATTAGATTCAAGATAACAGTGCAAAAGGCCCTACCTTATTGATGGGCCCACTGAGACCTGCGATGGTGTTACAGGACACGGCTCTGTCTCTCCAGTTTCCACTGTTCAGCTTCTCAGCCAGCAGGGAGCGCACTAAAGTCTGAAAGTAAGAGCAAGGATGAAAAAGAGCTGATGTAGTTAAAATCATATTAAATAGAAAGATTTTCATTTAATTTTAATTACTTTCTAAACATGAACTCACCATTTTACGTATAGCATGTTAACAGTATAAATGTTTAATATCCTGTGCATCAAAAGACACTTTAGTGAATTCCACTGAATTTCACCTGCCAGATAGATAAAGGACATCAAACTCTGCTATTACTGATGCAAAAGAACAATGATGGGAAATGTAAATCTTGCTCCTGAGCAGTGTATTCCTGTTATGTAAATCACATTACAATCAATGCAGCAGAATTAAAGTTCAGACACTTAGGGTAGCTCACACTGCATTTTGTTTTGAATATCAGAAAATACGGTGGTACTATAAAACAGAAAAAAACAACCATGGGGAGGTACACACAGTGCTCTTGCTGAGGCTGGCCAGCAGGACAGTGGCTTGTTCTCTGTCACTATGTGCTTCGCCTTCGTACAGCTGAGAGAGGAGCCTCTGTATGACAGCTATGCTGGTGTCTCCCTCCAGTGCCAGGCACTGAGCGGCAGCCCAGCTGTCTGCGCCCACACCTGCCAAATCTTCAGGACAAACACACTTTATTATTCTACTTCAGCTCATCTCTTTTTTTATTTCAGCGTGTGTGTATGGATTTTTGCCTTCTTCACTCTTTGCAGATAATCTAAGAAGACAGAACATATTTCAATCATAGGCTAGAGTTCTTCTAAATATTAAATATTAAAAAAAAATAATATTAAAATTATTGTTTTCCTGTCCAAACGAAACTGAATTAAAAAAAAATAATAAGGAAAGTAACACTAACTCTTAGTAATTAACTATTAGCTCAGAAAACATTTAATGAACTGATAAGCTTGATAAAACTACAGAGTTGCACCTGCCAAATGCATGAAGATCACCAAACTCTGCATTTACTGATATACAGTAGAAATATAATGACATAAATCACAGTACAATTAATGCAGATGTATAAGATCAACATTAACATTAACAGCGGCAATTCTGTATCCTGAGTCCAAGTGGTTGCAGTTTTCATTGTGTTAACTGTTTATTCAACAGAGCAGACAGAGTAATGTGACATACAGTATTTGTGTGCAGATTGGATATTGTCTTGAATTTGTTGCACGGAATATGACTTCTATAACAGAAGCCGAAGAGACTAAATGCTTTTTTCATACCAAATGAGATGGTCTCAGGTGTTAAAAGTGCTTTCATTCTAATCAGTCACCCCTTCTCACCTTGCTGAAGCACACTATGAAGAATGTTCCTAGCCTGCCTGTTAGCTGTTCCCATGACATACTGGCACAGGGCAGCTGCCAGACGCACTCTGTCACTGGGGTCCTCTAGGGCTGACAGCAGGAGAGGCTGCAGCTCTTCTGGCACAACCTGAACATCCCTGGGCCTCCAAAATGGAGCTGGAAGAAAAACAGTCAGCTCCTGAGTACTCCAGGGACATACCCTCACAGGCATGGGCTATTATACCTAAACTCTGTCTGCTGACACTTAGGAGCCTACAAAGCTAAGACGAAAGTAAGAAAAACATAAAATGATTTTAAACCATTTCATCTACAGGCTAATATAGATTTCCTTCCAGCAGATATAGTTTCACTAATTTATTTTATCCGATCCACAGGACTTAACAAATAACTGAACACTTACAAGTAGTTAGAAGATATGAAGAAGAAAGAAAGTGAAAATCAGATATTCAGAACTGAATTTTGCTCTTCCTAAATTAGTCCACATAAAGTGCATAAGGAATTTTCACTAGACTACGTCGAAGTGGGCACAAAGAAGCCTAACCTGTTGCAGTCGATTCCTGACCCATACTGGGCCTGTTCACAGCTCCAGAGGCACAAGTTGCTATGGCAATGATGCGCACGTGATAGTGAAGGTCACTGAGGTTCCTCTTGAGCCCTTCAATCGTCACATTCTGCCATCGGGTCACTAATGGGAAGCATTTGGCAACACACACAGAATTTACTATCTTTAATTCATTCTCAATCTTACCACTGAGAAAAAGATAAAGCCACTAAATATTCTGGGTAGCTATGAATTGGACCCCTGACTATAATATTCGCTGTCTTATTGACAGAGACAAACAGACAGCAAAGAAAGAAAGGTCACCCACTGAGTTTCCAGGCCTTCCTCCACTCCTCCACCATGTACCGCAGTGCGTGGCGCTCTTGTGGGGGGCAGCTCTGGGGCTGCTTTCTAAGCGTGCCAGGCAGGATAGTGTCCTGACCGCTGTAGTCGGGGGGCTGCAGTCCTCTCTCCATGGCATAGTCAGCCGGGCTGGGCAGGCTAACCCATCGCCTGGCCCCTTTCTCAGGCTTCAGAATTGCTGCAGGAAGATACAGAATGAAGTGAGCCAACTGGCCCCTTTCTTTAACTGTGATTGTAGTCTTTGAATAACAGTAGGCTTATATAAACGTGTTATTACAATGTGTTCATTTATAGATGTTGACATAATTAAAGGAGGGTAAGAGGCTTTTGTTGTGGAGTTTGAAATAGTACGTACAAGTTTTGTTTTGGGAAGCACTGTATCTGAAAGAGAGGGTGGCAAGGTAGTTAGAATTGTTTCCTTGCAGCACTGGGGCCCTTAGTTCAATTCTGGGGTGCTATTTGTGTGGAGATGTATGTAAATGTATTCCCTCCTCCACCTATTTATTCATCCATCTATGTATGTATCTATCTATCACATACTGTCATTGTGATTTTATGTGACTCTTATGTTTTGCTTGTGTGTGTTCTGTACGTCTGTGGGAGATGCCAAAGACAAATGTCCACAGAAGTGGACAATAAAGCATCTATGTTCTTTCTGTGTTTGGGGGTTTCCCTTTAAATGCTCAGGTTCCTTCACATAGTCCAAAGACATAAATGAACTGGCATCTGGGAAAACTGGCCCACTGTGCGTGTTTGTGTCTGTGTGTTCAACTGCAATGGACTTGGGTCCTGTCCAGGGTGTATCCTGCCTTGCACTTGTTGTTTGTCGGGATGGGCTCTGGCTCTCCTGCAACCTTAAATTGTACGAAGTGGTTAGAAAATGGGTGAATGTATCTGAAAGAAGTATTATAAAGGTTTCTCTGCAAGGTAATAGAATGTGTTATCTTTTAGTGTATTCACGCTGATGGTCTCAGGTTCTTATAAGGGTACATCCTGACCTGTTCTTTTTGGGGGGCGGATTCCTGCCCCGATTTTACTCCATTCCTCAGGACCACGGGGAAAACGGTCCTGGAGGTGTTTCTGGTATTCCGAGTTGTTGTCCATTATTATCCTATCCCTCTGTCTTCCATCATGTTGGTGTACTTGCCTGGAGATCTCTGAATTCACACAGAAAAACAGACAAAGCAAAGGAGACATAGAGCCACACTTATACTATCTCATGAATGAGATCAAGTCACGAGGTTATACCAGAATAGATGGCTCTTTGCCCACTATGCCTTCCGGCATGTAGGGACAGCAACATCCTGTTGCTGTAACTGTAACATTAGTTTTTGATAGGAGAGGGTTGTTAGCCTTGTGCCCAACCTCCAACATGGAGGGCCTGGTGCCCAACATGGGACACAAACCCACTTCCCTGAGATTATGAGTCTCATGCTCTACCAACAGAGCTAGTTGGGGCCCTTACCAGAATAGAGCTCCTGTTCAAATGAGTTGTCAGTGTGGTAGACATATCTTCCTGCCCGGGGATTCAGTCTATCCTGGAGACGCGGTGGCTGTGGGGGCTCCAGATGCCTAACCTTGACATTGTCTGCAGTCCAATTATTTCCTCCTGGCTCATCAGGTCGGGTGGGGAGCAGGCAGAACCCAGGCACTCTGGAGCACAGAAGGTGGAAGGAGAGGTAAATGTAAAGAGTACTTAGAATCACTAGACAGCGTGATTCTACAGTGCCTAGTGACTGTTCGATCTACCACAACAGGAAAACAAACATGAAAAGTGGGACTTCTTATTTCTGTGCACAAACATCCATTGTAAACTCCTGATCGTCATACCAGTTAGACAGTGTGAAATACACATACCAAAGGGTTCCCAGATGCTTCTTCGTAACCACTGCGCTAAGGTTTACTGTATGTAAATATACATAATGAGAAACATGCAACACATAACAGATGCTATTGGTTCCATTATTCACTGTTGTGTGTTTAATGCCTTTCAGTATATTAAAATATATGCAGTATGGGAAAGTGAGTCATGGTGTCCTGACAGCTTCTGCTGTCAGTTTTTTTCACTTGCCTGTAGTACAGTGGAAGAGGTGTTTCTGGATGGGTGCCGTCCACAATTTGCTCCTTTGGCTCCTCCTTGGGGAGATCATGGTACCTGCGGAAATCCTCCATGTTCATGGGCTCATCACACACTAGATCCGTGGCACTGGCAGACCCATAGTGCTGTTTGAGCAGGTCCTGGAGCCGGGCTTTGTTCGCACTCTGACCTGGCATCTGCTGGCTCACTATCCACTGTGCAGTGGTCTTTGTCAGCTTCTTCAACACAAACTCATCCCACTTGCTGCTGCTGCTGATGCAATCATCAGAAACTGTTTTTTTGAGTGAACCAGAAACATTTGCCTTCCTCTTTCCTTTCACCTTCTTAGAGACATTGAGGGCTTCACTTTGGTTAGACTGAAGCAAGCATGAATCTGTCCTCTGAACTGTGCTCAGTTCAGACACACTGTGCAGAGAAGGAGGCAGCTCTGTGGGAAACAAGGAGGGCAACTCAGGTGGCAGAGTGCTAATGGTGTATGTATTTTTTGGCCCTGTAAGTGAACTCTTACTTAATTCCTCTGCACATCCTGAAGAACAGACAGGGAGCTGTCTGGGAGTGGCCCTCTTGTGTGAGGTGTGATTCTTAAGCTTTGCAGTTGTTGTTAAGAGTCCTGAAGCATCGAAGAGCCGGCTGAAGTCCATTTGGCTATATGAGAGGGTGTCAGGACCTCTCTCCTTTACCACATCCTGGGTGAAAGTCAGGCCTGAGGAAATTCTGTGCAGGAACTGCAAGTACAGGCGCTCTTGTCTCAGATGCTTCAGGCCAGGAGTAGTCACAGGAGGCTTAGAAAACAGTACAGGGTCCATTGTGTCTGGCATGAATGGAGCTCCAAGATGAATGTGGGAGAGATGGTGGTCCACAAGCAAATCGTAGCTACACTCTGCTCAGCACTTCCTGAGAAAGGACTGGAAGGAAGACATGCACCATAAAGATAGGTCACATTTTCCAATTCTGAAATTGCAGCTGTAAATAAACAACATCGAACAAAAAACAAACAAACAAACAAACAAACAAACAAACAAACAAACAAACAAACAAACAAAAATGACATTAAAAACGACTGCTAAGTGAAAGGACTGTCGCATTCTGAATAACGTGAAGGGACTGGTGTCGAAAAGCCCAGAGGTGAGTATTAAAGTCAAAACTTTGTTTTAAATACCGCTAATCATGGCCCTTTATTAACAGTATTTACGAGCACAAAGAACTAATAAATACAATTTAAAAGCAAAAAAAAGGTTTCTTAGCGCACCGGCCAGTACATTGCAATTGTAGTACAGTAGTAGTATCACAGTCTATAGATCTATAGATCTATATATAGACAGTGTACAGTCTCTGGTTAACGAAAACATATTCCCGCTTTTTAGACATTGAACATTCTCATACCTCAAGGAGAGCTGTGGAAGTCCTGTTTTGCGGACTCCAGTAATGAATTCCTGTGTCCTGTCACTCCAGGTGGGCCGTTGCGACTTGGCTTTATGTTGACAGCGTTGCCCGGGCAACAGTCAAGCGTTTCGAGACAGGTCCTGTCTCCCCTCTCATCACTTGCCGGCGGTTTTTATTTTACATGTTTAAAATCCTTTCACCCCTTGCTGTATCGTTCATCGGTGAAAACGATTTACCTACAAGATAGGGGACTTATCGCAATAGTGGTATTGATCTGCTTTTTAAGCTGTTAAAAGCTGCCCTAGAGTGGACAGTCGGAGACGCTGCTACAGTTCAGCAGAAGAGCAAAGTGACAAAAAAACAACATCTTAAAAAGGGGGAGAAGAAAAATTTGTTCGAATTTTACTAACAAAATAAACTAGCAAACTAAGCAACTTAAACAGGAAAAACACAAAAATGAAAGGAGGTTACATCTTATCTCAAACCCCACGATGGCGTTCTTCTCACAATGGTGCTTTTATTTTCTTCAAACCTCTTTTACGATTTATGATTTTTGCTCAAATCCAAATGTAAAAAATAAAACTCGTAATGTTAAAAAAGATCAAATGCATTGATTTTATTATTGAAGTTCCACTGAAAATTTATAAATGTGGTTTAGTAATCTTTCATTTTATCAATCTAATGTTGTTTAATATACCTATTAGAATGCCGTATTAATGGCAAGAGTTTTTCAAAAATAGGACAAATTTAGCATTTTCACAAATGCCTTTGATTTGTTAACTTTTTTCTTTTTAGTTATACAATTTAGGCAATATACTGTACTACAGAGCCGTAGAATACCATATAAACTGCTGTTCCAGTATTTACCACTAGGTGACAGTAATTGTCTGTAAATTTCAAATACGAAAATTGCATGTTTTGAACAGATTCTGGCGCAAATTCCTAATGAAGAACACGACAAAATAAAGACGCTTTTTATAAACCAGTGACATGGATGAATCTTTTGTTCTGGTTTATTATATTAACACCAAGAGCATTTCCCCCCACTTTTAAAAAATATTTTCTTACATTTTTGCTGAAAATTAAGAAAAATATAAAAAAAGTCAATAAATGCATAAACACATAGACAACATGTGTTCTCAGAAAGACTCTGATGCAGACTGAGAGTCACTTTTACAGGCTATTCCCTCTCGTATAATAAAATCCAATAGTAACTAGCACAAGCTAATAATATATGTAAGGGGGTTACTTTAAAAGTGTGTTTTTGGAATAAGAATAATGATTTAGGCCAATACTGGTGATTGTGGGAAACATTAGAGCTGTTATTAAGGTTGTTTTCTTATATTTTAATACTATACTGGTATACAAGGGTAAAATGCAAGAATAGCCTCTAAAATGATAACAATTTTACAGAATTGTGTTGGTAAAAACAAAAGCTTACGAACACAAAGGAAACAGAACTGTGTTTACCAGCTATGTCCCAGAAAACAGAAGTTTGTTGGAACACATATACTAACAGTCACTGCCATTTGTTGAACAACACTGTTACAGACAGCCTGGGGGGCTTCAGGCCTTTCACAACAGTTAAAAGTCCGTACAACAGGCTGATCTTCTTCAGCAGGAAGCTCACCACAGTAACACCCAGGCCCAAACACCATGGTTGAGCAGTTCAGTTAATTCTATTGGTGTACGTGTGAGTTCAGTCTGCAGGCACACTTGTTAAAATGCAAAGGAACAAGTAATAGGTTTATTCCATGCTGAAAAAAAGAAGAAAGAGAACACAATGTTTCGGCCGTGGAGCCTTCTTCAGGTGTGAGGGGGAGGTGAGGTGTGAGGCTTCTTCACTTGTTAAAATGCCTCACTGTCTGCACAGTGACTAATTATTTTATGTCAAAAAAGAATAATGGGCACCTCATACAAAACAAAAGTTGGGAAAACACCTGCATTATTAATGGGTACATGGTCTTACACTTGTACATAGGCTAGGGTTACATTTGTCTTTGTAGAGACATGTGATTTGGGGTATACTTTTACTTGTGGGTAAAAGTATTAACATGTATTAGCAGTTTTTTAAGATAAAAAAATAAAATTAAATATTCTTATTCCCCTTTGTGGTTCGTTAGCCTATCTACCAACAATGCAAGGACATATGAAAAGCTACATTTCCTTTTCTATATATTTTAAGAACAGATATCAGTCATCAAATGTCCTTCTATTGGCCGCATCTACTGAGCATTTGTGCTAGTGTGATGTTTGCTGGGAACAAAACATGGCACTGCTATGACTAATTTCTGCCTTCTCATTAAAAGCCTGCAGATCTATTTCAGAGTGAATCTTCCTGCATTCCTCTAGAGGCTGTGAAGATGAGACAGATATTTTCTCAATATTACTCTGAGTCTGCTGCCAGTTCATGTCTTTCTGACTAAACGCTGGTGTGATATCCATGTGGACATTTCTTGAGAGCGACATCAGCATAAACCTGTGTCTATATGAACAAAATAAAATACAAAATCCAGGGCTTTGGCATCAGCAAAGGTACTTTAGACCAACATATAAACTTGGACCAGAGTGAAAATCCTCCTCTGGGTTCTAGTGTAGCTCATGCTCTCTGAATGTTAATTGAAAATGCAGGAGTCTGAAATATCACTAAAATATCCTTTTAAAAACACTGTGATATTTCTTTCTTCATTGTGGTTGAAAAATTAAATGAAAATAGCTGGAATGGTCTGAACACCCTCCTGTGCATCTCAGAGGCTGCATTAAATGAAATCCAGTGAAAGACGATGAAGGTTAACAGCATTGTGCTGCAAGTCAAGCTGGCTCCACTGTTTGAATGCATGTGTGCACGCTGAGATACTGAATCATGACATCAGTCAACTCGAGGCTCAATTAAAGCTGCTGCACCACAAAAATGCCAAATAAGCAGCTCAAGGCTGTTTTACTGCTTGCAGTGTTGGGTGCCACCCAGTCAGTGAGGACTCATTGACTGATCCTCTGTGGAACGCAAAGAAATGTCTTAAGGTGTTATGTCTTAAGGTGGGGAATCTTTTCCAGCTGTGTAGTCCACACACAAAATGGAACTCCTAATTATTTACACAAGTGCCATATTCAAGTCACCATAAGATACACAGAGATTATAAGTCACCATAAAACTCATGTCTACAGAGATATTTGTACATTGGACTGTAAACAATACTCATTGCTATCCTGTGTAATCAAGACTATTCACTTTTAAATTATCAAGAAGTCCTCATATAGTCAATGCACTGTTAAGGTTAAGTAAGAATCACTTCACAGAGTACATAGGTAAAAATGAGCAAAAACGATGTCTGACTTACAATTTTCTGCATATTTTGGCATATATCTCTTAAGATCATTGTGCCTTGTTGTCAATTAATTTTAATGTGCTGCTGCAACTTTGTGCTGGCTTCTTGTCAGTGCTGTCATTTATCAGTGTTTCAGAACGCCAAGGTGATGAGTCAGCACATAGCACTAACTGACATTTAGGAGCAGTCACTTGGATTTCAGTGCTGAGTTTTGGAAAACAGCCACACTGCAGAGATCAGATGAGTGCAACAAAAGCAAGCTCTGGGACATTTCTTTGTCTGAATTAGACATCAAACACTGCAGGAAAATGTCCAGGCTCTTCCCAGAGCACAATAAGAGCCCCAGAAACTGGTTGTACCCTGACTTTGCCCCTTGCTGACCACGATCAAGAGACCCTAGTGAATAAGCACAATGGGTGAAGCATTAGCACACATATCTAGAAGAAACATTGCCTTATTGGGGCTGGATGTTTCTAAAAATACAAGTGCAAATGAAAGAGTACATTCAACTTTAATTAGGGAAGGTAGCTTGGATTGCAAGTTAAAAAAAACTTGATTAGCATCATAATTCACTAAGGCATTGTCTTGTACTTCATGTCCCTCCATACATAAGGGATAGAACAACAGATGGGTTACTACAAATGTAGATTAAAGGGGATTATAATTGGAGCACAAAATATAATAGAATTTGTCTATCTCATTCTCTCTACACTTCAGATCTCCTTTCTTTTTTCTGAACCATGTAGTTTAAGATTTGATTCATTGAAAGCAATGACAAATTAACAGGCCAAAAACAGAAAGAAATGAAATGTTGAAAGACATTATTCTGATAAAAATAAAATTACAGATACATAGTATATACCACATTTTAAAGTTACAGCAAATAACCTTTCTAATTTATTATATTTGAGCAATTTCCTAGATCTTTGAGCGATTTCAGATTCTCAAGAACGTAGGAAAATGTATCTAAGCTAAGAATGGATCAAAACTAGAGTGCTACTGTCTTGCAGTGGACAGTCAGCACTGATGCAGACAAGAAAACAGTAGACCAAAGAAAAGAGAGAAGCAGTACTTCAGGAAAGCCCATGTAGAAGGAGAAGGCTTTGTGATGGTAACAACTTCTATCTGTAGCACTGCTTTAAATTCTTCAGTTTCTTTCAAAGAGGAAAGGCCTTTTAATGTTGTAGCCTTTTAATCCAAAACCCAACCAGGACCATCAAAATAATCTACATTTACTTGTTCTGTCCCTGTATTCTCTGCAATCATAACATAAAGGTAAGTGATCAGTAGATTGTTATAATTCCTGTACTTATAAAATAAGTGGGGAGTTTGTTAGGAGTCTCAGTGGAAACACACATTTAGTGAGGATCATTAAGCCTTACAAACCCACAAGGAGTCGTTCTGGATCTTCATGTTTTGGGATAACTATACAGGATGTTCATGATCAGATTGTTTTTTGTGTCACTTCACCTCAAACATTATGATACAAATGTTAAGAGCAGATGTGAGCATATGTGACCAGTTCTCCCTGGTCCAAACCTGATATTCCAAAACACAAATTAAACTCTTGAGGACAAGTCCATCTATACAGTGCCGAGAAAATATTTTGAACCCATTAGTTTAGTCTGCATTGTCATGGATGTTTGACAGCTCACAAAAAATTTAGATTCTCATAACATATAATAAGATCTTCTGTGAGTCTTAATAAAAGATCAAGGTAACCGTATTAACTATCTAACACAAAGACGTAAGATATGTTTGGATTATTTACTCAACTATTAAATTTAATTAATGATCCAACCATTAATATTCTAATGTGAATAAGTATGTGAACCCTTAGATTCAGTAGTTGGTGGCACCTCCCTGAACAGCAGTGACATCAGCTAGAGGTTTCCTGTAATGTATTATCAGTCTCACATGAATATCTAGATTTTCTCACTGTGGCCAAAAAACTCTTGACTTAACTGACCAGAGAACATAGTTCCAGAAATCTTGTGGATCATCCAGGAGCTCTTGCCTGAAGGAGAAGGGATGACCACTCACTGTGGTCTTCCGTTAATAGACTATCTATCTGACAGGGGATGGAGGGAGCTTGTTCAGACATCTGATTAGACTCATTTTATTTCTGAACTCTTCCGAAATTTCTTTTAATGACATAACATACTTCCACTAACTTGTATGGTGAAGATAAAACTCACAAAGATTCTAACCATTATATATTATTTCTTACTTGTTATTCAATTATTTAACCACCTTATTCTAATTACCACCTTAATTGAACTAAATAAGGGTTCACTTATTATTTCACATACACTGATTCTTAACTACTCATTCTTTCAACTTTATACCATTGCATGTAAAAAAACACTGAATTGGTCAATATAAACCATTTGTTTACTTCAGAAAAAACAGGTTTTGATTAAACTTTTTCAACTTTTTCTCGACACTGTACTTTCTATAGACCGCAAATGCAAGATGATGTCTAAAAGATAAAACTCTCCTGCACCTGATTTTCCAAACTTGGCAAGTGAATAAAAAGTATTTGAACAATGCTGGACAAGTTGAAAGATTAGAAACAGCTGATTAGGGATTATTATGAAGCATAAGATACTAAAAAAGTTGACTTGACCTTTGCCATCTTTTTTTGTCTACATTCCAGGATATAGGAACAACATTAATTTGCACTGATGAAAATGGGAAACATGAGAAAAACAAGAGCAGAATTTCCATGCCTGGCTTCAGGAACAGCACGCCTGTGTCTCCAGAGGGAGACAGGGAGATGTACCATGGGTAATGACTCATTCAGAATGTAAGAGAGCTCTGAATAAGAGAAAACAGTTCAGAAACCTACAGATGAGGCAAACAAATTAAAGTGTATCTCAGGATGAAGTTCACAGATGAAAGATCTTTATCTGTGTACTCTCACTAGGCAGAGTCAGTTCAGGGGACAGATGTCTTTCACACTTGGGTGGCAGATCACTGGAGCATCTTATTAATATGTATTGTCTATAGGATTCTTTTCTAACATTAGTGCCAAGAGAGGAGACAGGGGAACAGTTCTACTGGAAAATGAATGTGTAAACATTTGGCAGCAGAGTACATTTTTAGTTATTGTTCTGGTCAAGAGGCACCAGTAAGGAATTTCCAGGCGGGATCTGACAATGAAATGTCCCTGGTTGTCTTTGTTAAGCGGTAATCAGGGTGAGGTCAAGTCCAATAGTTGGAGGGAGGAATATCACAGTAGTTATTCTGAACAACTGTTCTTCTCTGGCAGCTATGAGAAGAGATCATTCTTGATGAGGTGTGCCATGTGAAAGCTCAATCAGAGATCGGGACTTTAGGGTGGAACTCTTTTGTTGCTGCATCCCGCTTTTAATCATCATATAGAGCACCTTGTGAGATCCTTGGCAATGATAGAAGGTGCTCCAGAATCTGGGCGGTTTTGTTGGGGTTCTTGTTTTGAATCTGCCCATGAGTCCTCATCAAAAAAGGCCCACCCCAAGAAGCCAGCAGGATTCCAAGTGAAGCAGGAGAACCTGGGTTCACACAGTGAGGCCCCAGTTTGTTAGGATGGTCTCTAGATGTTTAGTAGACCTACCCAGAGCTTCCTGGATTGGTTTCTGGATGGGATATACTATGAAATGTGCCTTACAGATGAATGTCCTTCCGAGGGTGAGCAGTAAGAAGCAGCAGCTCACCGGGGGTCTTAAAGTGAAGTCTCCAGGCAGCAGGATCCTCTGCGGACATAGTACCGGCGCACCTCCCCAGAGTCCCCACAGCCCTCTGGACGGTGTACAATGAGGACAGGGAAAAACCTGGCGTCGCGGTAAGTCGGGGGGCTGTCATTTACCGCCAGCTGGCTGGAATAGGAGCGGCAGCACTGCTCATCCAAGCAGCATCGCTCGGTCAGCGTGCTGCTCCGGCTCCGCCAAAGCCCCATGGTGCGCCGAGAGCCATACATGCGGCACAGCGAGAACCGGGAGGTGTCCAGAGAGAGGCGAGAGTGGAAGGCGTGCCGCGAGAAGATGGAGGAGCAGCTGGAGCTGGTAGCTGCTTGTCTCTGCCCGTCCTGGAGCTGGCAGCACTGCTCACAGTCTTGGACCAATGCCCCATAACTCCTAGCAGGGTAACTGTCACGCAGGAAGCACGTGGATGATCCAGTTTCTCCAGAACCAGAACCAGAGCCTCCCAGATCCATCAACATGGCCTCAGAGTAGCTGGGGATAAGCTGACGGTTGGATCGGATATGCCATTCGAGCTCGGTGCTGTCCACGGTTTCTGCTCTGGGAAGACCATAGTTACCATTCCTCAGGGGTATGTCATCCCCTGAAGGAGAGGCAGCGCTGTTGTTGAACTCCAGTCCAAAGAGTTTCTCCACGTGGTAGTGCACATAAGCCGTGCGATATTCAATCAAGACACGAAGCGGCCAGGACAGCATGAGCAAAGCAGCCAACCAGAATGCCACGTGAGAGGCATACCAAGGAGGCCGGTCAGGGTCCACATAAGCTATCAGGTGTTCTTTGAAATCTACGTTTTTTAGCTGCATTCCTTCCCGGGCTTCCATGTAGTCATCCAGCCCTTCAATTTCGGAGAAGAATCTGGCACGCTGGTTGAGATAGGCGTTCTCGGGCCCTGCACCGGCAAAACTGAAGCACTTGGTGAATCTCAGCCTGGTAGCGGGGTGCCCCTCGAGCCCTCTGAGGTCCCTTGACACATCTCTTACCCCACAGCGGCTGTAGTCAAACTCGCCTTCGGCCACGTGGGTGTTGACCCGCTCATGGTAGACCTGCGTAGTGGTGTAGGCATCTCCATTGCGGTAGCGGGTAACCTGGCGCGTCCTCCTGACGAAGTGATAGCTGATGGCCTTCCACCAAACGCAGGGGCGCGCCTGCCGCATGCGCAGGACCCTCTCGTACACGCTGTCCACATCTGCTTTGCACTGGAGCTCGCTTCGAGCGCGGCAGTGCCAGCATTCCACCAGGTACACCGCGTACAACATGAGCAGGAAGGCCAGGGGGATGTAGACGTAGCCGTCCGAGCATGGGCTGTCATGGTAGATCATGGAGCGGCCCCCCATGTTACCCCCCCGCAGCGAAGAGATGGACGCCGTCAAAGAGGAGGTGGCTGAGGAGTCGAAGCTCAGCTTGGTGACTCGCGTCAGCTGGCACCATGCGACTGCGCCTAGACAGCCGTACATCAGCAGCGAGAGCAGTAGACAGCGCCAGTGTGACTCGCGGCACATTGAGGCGCTCAGAGACTGCTTCACTGGCCGCTGCTGTGAAGAGACAAACAGAGAGAGAGAGCTTTCAGGACATGAGCCCTAAATTACTGATTGTAAATGATTGTAAATAATGGGATTTGCTGAATCCCCCTTTCAAGTCTAGAGGAGTCATTTAATGAACAGATAAAACACGGAGCACTGCAGCGCTTAAAAAAGTCTGCAGAGTATCTGTAATGTACTTAATTATATTTTCCTATAATCTGCTATTCACAGTTTATTGATATTAAGACATTGCAGAGTGACTTGATAAAATTCAGTGGGCAAAATTCTGTCATTCTTTTTGAATATTCATCTTTTTATAGTGTGATTTATGCCCACATTCAAAGAGCAAGAGCCTGTGAAGAGTGTCTGAAAAATAATAAAATTAAAGGTAAATGCTAATTTTAGTTTTCAATATAATAAAGAAAGAACTGTGGCACTCTAGAGCAAAGAAGATAGAGGATGTAGTCTTCATCTCAAGTTTAATTAGTTAAATAGAAGTCTGAAGGTTACAGATTCTATGTAATTAATCCCCTGTGTGACTAATGAAAGTCAAAGAACAACCTAGAATTAGAGGAATTACTCTTGTTTGCTAACCACACAATAAGGGAAAACAAGAGTTTAAGTTGAAATTTTTATTTAGGGATTATAACTGCATTCTTGTGTGTAATAATGTCAGTACTACAGGTTAAAAATGTGAAGAAGAACCTGTACGTAATCTTTCAACACTCATTGGGGTTCAGTTTTACAATTTTAAATAACTTGAAGAATAAAAACAACAACTGTGTTTTTACACTTCTTCAATATTTAATTTGTACCAAATCATTGCAGTGCGTGTCCTGATGTCTTTGAGATCCACTATATATTGTCTGCACTTTATTCATAGACCTTTTTACAGATCCTTTTATACCCTCTGTCCATTTCTAGGTGTCTTCCTATGTTAACATAGAATTCAGAATTTGATTACTATATAGCCTATGATTACTGAGGGCTCATTGCCATTTCATCTTCTAATTGAAAACCAGATCTCAAATGGACGTCTTCCATCGAGTCTAACTGAATCCGCTCAAACTAATAGAATAGCTGGCAACAGTGTGATGTACAAATGGTTAATTGCCATAATTGCATAGCTTCCTATTCACTAATTACTCTAAATTGACTTTCTTTAAATAAGAAAGCCACATGTAGTTCATCTTCCCTAACAAGACTTTCCACAAGTCATCACTATTAATGCACTGTGATTTTTAAAATGTTCCACAGATTCCCAAATGATTTTTTTATGAGCCTGGCAGTGGTACTGTGACTGTGCAGGGAGAAATGCGAGTTAATAACGTGTCTGATATTTAAAATAAAAGGTTGAAAGGCTTTTTAAGAGAGAGAGAGGGGGAAAGTGTCATGTAAATAATTGAGCAGCCTCTTGAAAGAGAATAGTAAAAAATATCTACGAGTGAGCAAGGCTGAGAAGCTGTGCAGTATGGTTGATTGCAAAGGGAGGGCTTGTTAAACTGCCCACTTAACCCAGGACCATTCAATATCCCCTTTACACTGAAGAGAAATACAAAAAAACACTCCATGACTGAGGGAAGTCTTTTGGCAGCTTTAAAAATGAACTAATCGGCTGCATAAATGAGCAAACGTAGTCCAATTAGATTAAGCACATATACACAAAGGGAACACAACCTGCTGTATTCCTTTTTGAACTCATTCATTTGGTCTAGGCCCCTTATTGCATGCTGTCAGCTCCTGCCCCTGCTTCATGGCCCCCACCTCTGTCACCAACACTGGGACACGACCTTCAAAGGCACATCATGGTTATGGTTCGAAAACAACTTTTGCTCTCTGCCGCTCATCCATCCATTGCCATAAAAATGCTTTCTCCCAGTAAGGACTGCAGCCTCCTGGGAAACAGAGAGGGGGTGATGGGGCTGCTCTCTGCAAAGGGCGCCAATTTCTCGCAGGGTGCCGTAAGTCAGGTCTGTCCAATCCTGGTCCTGGAATCCCACACCCGGTTAACATTCCAGCCGAACGTAATCGCCTAACCGAAGCTTTAATTGGGCCAGCAAAGTTGTTGGAATAGAAGTTGATGTTCTGCCTGGCTTTTGTTTTCCTCGTGAAACGCGATAGTGAAAATGTGACCTCCACCATGTCGAAGGGCTGAGAACAGGCCGACAGGTCAAAGGCAAGTCAATTACAGGGTCAGCGGTGTAACCGAGAGCAGGGCTGGAACAAAAACCAGCAGGCGTGTGGGCCTGTAGTATTTGGGTTGGGAACCCCTGCTGGACCTAATCATTTGACAAAATGGTTCCAGCTATTCCCACAAACTCAAAGCATTAATATATGAATCCTAAACCCCCTGTCCCACCTCTCCATCTTCAACTCCAGCTCCATTGACTCGGCTAATAAAAAAGTAATGTGAGGAGCTTATAGCAGCAATCTCTACAAGACGAAGCACCTAGGCAAATGACCACTGCTGCAATTCTGACCTCCAATGAATTGCTGCTCCTTTTCAGCAAATGCATTTTCTTTGAGCTGTTCTATGTTGTACCTTTCTAATTACTTTACTGTCCAGGATCAATACTATGCAGCCAAGGCACTGAACTAGAACAGAGCAGCAAACCAGCAGCAGGTGGCTATCCGAGTGTAGCTTAATTCATCTTTCCTTGCTATTGTTTCTGAAAGAAGAGGAATTCTAATTTACAACTCACTTCCGAGACATAATTTGTACACCTTGGGTAAAGGGATTCTGTCTGCCTGCTTTGTTCCTTTTACACAGAAAACTGGAAAACCGATGCTTCCTGGATTAAGAAAGCCATAATAAGGCCTGTTTATGAAGAAAAGACTGAAAGAAAACAAATAACAGCTTTTAATTGCTCAATATTTTGTCTAAAGTTTTTGCTCGAGACTAAACATTTTCAAAGGCCCCTCCTACATCTCAGGGAGTTCCTAAATTTGCGCCAATTTATTCTTTCCGTTAACAAGAAAGGCAATAATTCTTATCTGATTCCTCTCTGTTTGCCTCCTGCAGCCATGCATGTGAAAGAGACAAGCTCCCTCAGGAGACGGTCCTGGGGAGATTGTATGCCAGATTGTGGTAATTGGTTTTCCCATCTCTCCTGCCAGCTGGAAAGGGGTCTCAGGCCCTTTTAAGCAAACACAAACACCCCTCCCAACCCACTTCCCACCCCCCACCCACCCCCCAATCTGCTGACCCATGCTTCAGAACCATTTCATTGTAGCGAGGTGGCAGGGAGCCTGGAGACAGCGCGATAGTGAGGGGACGTGCTGGGAATGAAATCCAGCAGCCGTGATGGCAGACGTCAGGCACCTCGAACGCAGACAGGAACAGAGAAAACACACTGCGTGCTTTTATTTACCGCAATGTAAACTGCACAGGATAGGACAGGGACTTACTGTGCATGCAAAACAGCACGTCACACAGCAACAACCCTATACTACGTCTACCATTATGAATCGTTCACACTTTCTTTTGTAAACCCCTTCACTAGCGCTCATATCTGCATTCTCTGCTTCTTTAAAATGCTGTCACAGATACAAGCTTGCGACCGGTATTCTGACTCCTGTCATCTTGAACGCCGTGACTGATAAATGAAAGACTCAGTCACATCATGTTTCTAGCACGTGTTCTTTACATTTGGCTGGCTGCAACATTTGTAGGTCCATCAATCCTCTCTTGCTTCTTCTGGTAATAATAATTCCCATGTGCTGTGAGCTCCCACAGTGCCGTGCTGAAGGTTTTTTTTTTAAAACTGTGATACTGCATCGCATCTCGTTACCTGAGGATCTCAAAGCCTTTCACATTGCCATTATGTTTATTGAAGGTCTGGGGAAAAGAGGTTGACGGGGCCTAACAAAGCAAGTAATCTCTTCATATAAAGAACCTCGAGCTGTACAGTATTATGGAAATTAGAGTAGATCCTTTAGTCCATCCACAGAACATGGTTACCCCTGTATCTGATTTTTGAAAGGAACTTGTACAAAAAAAGGAGGTCCTCTGTCACGAGAATAAGTACACCTCCTCTCCTGGCTTCTAAATTCAGAGGTCATTATCACAGCCGCAGATCCTGACCCACGACAGACTGGAAGAGACGATCATCCAATCAATGCTCTTACTCAGTTATCAGTTTTGCCTTTTTGTCTAACACTTTTTTCCCCAAGGATCTACCTCAATTATAATGTGAATACAGTATTGTATTATAAGAACTTAACATCAATTTGCTTGAACGTGTGTTTAAATGAGTAGCTTTAAAAGAGATCCTGCGCATGAAAAACTTGTGAACAGATGGATTACAGGGTGAATCTGAAACCACTTCCTGCTCTCTGTCTAGACTCCAGAGAATAAACCCACAAGGGGTTTAATTGGAGTAATTACTCTCTGTATAGCCTCAAAACAATACATGATCAAGTCTGTTAATCAGGGTTGTTTCTAAATTTCCACATTAGAAAACTAGAATTGCAAGAATTTGTCTTCTCACTGGTCTCTCTAAAAATAGGTGTTATTAGCATTTGGCCTTACTCCTATGCCTCAGTTCGACTCAGCACCCTACATGTACATGTATTCCCCGATAACTGAGAATTAAGCTGACTGATCCCCAGGCATAGAAATGCTGGGAAAGAACATCAAGGTTAGTCCAGCAATCTTGCAACTGACTACAAAAAGAAACATCGGAGGACTAACACTTCAAGGATCCGATAAGGCTGATCATGATGATAGCACTAAAAAAAGAGGCAGTGAAAACTGGGGGGAGAAAATCAGGTTTACCACTCCCAAACTGTTTGTGAAAATGACTATCTTCTGCTTCTCTGTGTTAAAAAAATCCCATCACTTTTTTGGCACTTCTGGCTTAATTACAGAGACTTTATTATTCCTTCACTTTGCTGTTTCTGACAGGGGATATAAAAAAGAGTGCTGTGATAGAGATAGCCTGATGTGTTTCCCTCACAGGATGTTGCAGTAATCTGCACATGATCCTTGATGAAAGCATTGCAATTCACCTGAAGGATAAAGTGGAAGTGTGATGGATTACACATAGCAAGCATCACGATTATGTGTACAAAAACAGGTAAACAGTGTTTTTGTGCAAATCTACCATAGTTGATTGCTTATAAGGTAAAACTGCATGAATCTCCATACAGCAGAATAGCAATGAGCATTCAAGCATACAGCTTGTCCATTTCATGTTCATATAAAAAAGAAAATAGGATAGTTATATGGGCATGTTTCAATTCTCTCTATTACTAATATGGTTAATTAAGTTACAACAGATCATACAAAATAGAGAAGAACATAATTTTCATAGTACAAAATATCACACCTTCTCCTATGTTTTCCCTCTATAATTGAGAGGGCCTCAGTCCACATCTTTCGTGTTGTGGGATGCCTTTTTGGTATGGTGTGGGGTTAAAATAAGATGTTTCAAATCCTTAGCTGAAACACAAACACACATACACCCTTTAACACCTTTAATATGTTTAGTTAAAATCCTCCTGCAGCTCAGAGATGGTATTTATAGATGGAAAAATGTATTTATATTTCACAACATTAAAAACTGATACTTTTCATAACCTAGCTAGGACTGAGAAATGAATGTAATGTGTTGGCACAAGATATGAGGTCACATTTACAGAGATCTGTACAGCAGTATCTTGTGTACAGCAATTGCTATAATGTGTTAGAAGCTGTTAAAGACAAGAATTCCTAGGCAACTAAAAAATAAATCTAACATCTATAGCATATACAGGACTTCTCAATTTCAGCAGATAACTGCTGGCCATGTAGGTGATTAAGTTTAGATTTGCTCTAGTCATTTATTAAATGCTGCATTAACTCAACTTGTTTTGAGTTAAGGGGGCTTGAGCTTGAAGAAAATAAAGGTTTTATGTTTCTGATCTTGGCAAAGGTAATAAAAAACAACAGATATACAAAACCACAAAAGGTATTGGCAACCAATTTCTTTGTTTGCCTTTGTACACAGTATTAAAATAATGGTTTAATATTCAAATTTAAAGATATTTATACTTCACACCCACTTTAAAAGTTGACCTTGTTTTTTTTTTACAAATCACCTTTCTTTTTTTTACAATTATATCCCTACCCAATTAAACATCTCCTGTTTAAAACTGTGTTTTCTTGCAACATTTTCTGGAAAATTGATTTTTTTTAGTAACCCTATAAATTGATAGTTTTTCCAGTACTGCCTTTTTTAGGCTATCCTCATGTCTGGCTGTCTTCAGATAATGAAGTCTGACTGAATTTCAGATTCAGCACAAATCATAAAGCTTGAATAACATTTTTATATGTTCAGCATCAGAGTGGTACTTTCAGACATCTCAGCTGATGTGTTGCTTAATTTACCATCAGCATCACACTGGATTTATCAAGGACAAATCAAACTAAACCCAAGAACTCAAGCACTACATTCATGCGCTACACTGTATCAGTAGATGCAGGTGGCTTAGCTTCTACAAAGGTTGGAATGACAGATGGATGGAATGTCATCTCTGCATTTAAAAATTCTATGCAAAAAACAATATGCAAAAATGCTGGGTTTGTATTGGACTTTTTACAGATCAAAAGCCATTGAACGTATTCATAGGCTATCGTGAAAGCAAACTAGCATACAACACCACTTCGCAAAGTCTGAATGTACTGTAGGTAACATTTAAAAGAGAGGAATCTGTTAGCATATTGTACTGTGGATGTTCTATTTTGACAAGGATATTTCAGTATGAGGCTCTTAGTACAAACCAGGAGGATGAGAGTGATGAGCTAAATTGTCTCTTGTTCTTAACTTTATGTCACACTCAAGTAGGAAACATAAGAACATGAGAAAGGTTACAAATAACAGTAGGCCATTTGGTCAGTAGTTTAGTAGTTAATTGATCTAAGGATCTCATCCAGTTGCTTCTTAAAAGAAACCAGGGTCTCAGCTTCAACAGCATGGCTCTGAGTAACTTGTCCACAATTATAAATTGTTTTAAATCTCATGGGTTTTTGACCCTTTGACTCATGTCAGGTGGAAAGGACAGAACAAAAAATAAGAGGTTGCTAGTTTGAGTCTCGGCTGTCAAGAATTCCCCTTCTTGGCCTTGACTGTGGGGTCTGAGTGACCCAGGTGACATAGACTCTTTCAGAAGTCTTAACTGTTCAATCTGAGATCACAATGTTACTTTCATTAGAACTGTGTAAAATGGAGACTGCAGTTGCTGTATCTTAAACTGGATTGAAATTTACTCTTATGCCTACCTCAAATTAAGGACAGAATGATGCCACAGAAAAAAATGCTCTAAAATGATAATCTTTTCACAAGAGCATGTCTGTTGTGAGACTCAGAGTTCACTCAATATGAGGCCAGTTGCTGCCAGATTTGTTTTCCTGCTTCTGCCTATCAATTACACTGTGCCCTACAGCATCAGTGTTAGACGATGGTACTCTGCAAATGACTTAGAATGTTTTTTGTTTGTAGATAATAACAATATTTAAGATTCTGAAATGACTTAAAGGAAAGGTGCTAATTTTTCAGTCAAAACAAGGAGCTCCACAAACACATCTAAGACTAAATGGTACTAGCAGTAGACTGCTTTTATAACGGTTGTAATTCCACCCCTTGATATATTTTTACTTTGTATAATAGGTGGGAACAGATGCTGAAAGATAACTTTTTACGACATGTTATTATTTTTTATCTCATTCAATTTTCATAAACGAAAATTAAGGCACTCTTCAACTGAAAAATGTCAAGATCATGAGGGGGGAAATATTCTTGTACTGAGACGGCAGTGGGATAGTTAGGGATCTTTCTACTGAATGATCGTCTCAGACAAATAATGAGGTATGGTAGTCACAAAGAAATTTCGAGTCATGCAATGCGTTTGTCCTGCATCTCACCTCTTCCAAGACGTCGATGCTCGCGGGGGTATCCTCGCCTTCATTTGGGGTGCTCGGCGCTGTGTCTTCCGCAGCGGTGTCAGTTTCGACCTCAGGAGAGAACATCCTGCTTTCTTGACATCGCAGACCCGCAGTATCAAAACCAGTCCCCCGATCCCGGCTCCCTCGGTCCCAGCTCAGCTCCTTTCCCCTCCCGAGCCGCCGCTGGTCCGGAGCCAAGGAGGACGGGGATCCCGCTTAAGGTGCTCCCATCGCGGCGAGGGGGGCGGGGACGGAGGGACTGCAGAGGCTATCCGACGCGTTCAAGGACTGTGGAGAAGGAAACCCCCCAAATAGCGCGGGTTGCTTATGGTATTTTAGCCACTCCGACCCAAATGCACAAGCCATTCCCCGCAGCACCATAAATAAATAAATGCACCAAAACTTAGATGGAGACTAGTAAAAAAGTCCTTCTTAATTGCTGAATGAACGATTCTTTTGCACACAGAAAAATTAGGTGACGCCTTGAGCATATTTCGTAATGCATTAAATAGCGAGAGTAGTACAGCACACCAACAATTCAGCATCCGCTGTCCTTGAGCACAATTACTGAATCCGTCCCCTCCGTCCTCCTTGCCAAGCGTTTTTTTTTTGTGTGTTCTTTATAGCATCAGGGGTTGGTGATCAACAGTACGGCAAATTAGCCTGTTAGGTCGTTTTCCAAGAAAATGCTGCCGCAAACAAATAGAAGCTCTTTTAAACCGGACTCCACCAAGCGAGGTAATCTTACAACCCCAGCAATCTCCGCAGCGGTGCAGTGTACTTTGAGCTCGGGTAATAGGAACATGTGAGCATCTTTTTTCATTGAGAAATTCAGAACCGCCGGCTCTCAGCTGCAGCCTGGCTGCCTGGTGCTCAACACGGCCATCCCGCGTGGAGTAGGAAACAGGAGCCCTCTGTATTCCCCAGGGAATGAAAACAACAATCTGTTTTAGGGTCATGAATGATGTGTGCAGCGTTTGAGGTGCATGCTCCGATGAAGAATAATGGACAAAGAAGAATATGCGCCTAATGAACACGCTTTTTACAAATATTATAGCTGTATTACATTAGCCTTCATATACTACACTAATTGTGATTGAACGGCTTCACGACGTTTTTGTGCTTAAAGCAACAAAAACTCACTTATGTGCTAATATCTCCACACTGACACCAAAATGTTGTTTGCACAATGAGCACAAATGTGAGGACACAAATTGCATTTTTTTTAAAAAAATCTTTAGAGCTCCTTATCATCAATATCATCAACATATGTAGAAAATACTTCCAACAACTCAAATGGAAGAGAACATTATGGAAATGAGACTGATTGTAAACCACGCACCTTTGTAATCATTTAAGAAGGGTATGTGCATTTCAATAAAAACGAGGAGTTCCATAAGGTGAATATTTTATTTACAGTTTAATTGTGTTCCCGATTTTACTCATTTCGGAAATGTACAGTAGCTTTTCGTGGCGAGGCGATGACGCACCAATCTTTCAACAGACATCTCTTTGTAGATAAAAGAGAGCTGTGATGGTGTCCTTAAAGCTAAAGGTGACAGCCAATCAATTATTCTTTCTAGTAAGGAGGCAACTGAAAAACCCGAGCGATTCTACTGCAGAACGGAAGAAGGTGGTGGAGCAGACAGCTGATTAATAGTCGCGGTGAAGTGAAATTAAGGCAATCAACCAATTATTTGATGAATAGATTAATTCAGTAATTACAGATGACCAACCCGTCTTTCGAAATCAATTTTAATCCCTCGGTGTGTATCGGCAAACCTTTAAAATGAGAAAACATGTTAGGCATCAGCGGTTTTATCAATAAAAAAACCGACGGGACTCCGCTGACTTGGCCGAACAGTTGCCAGATGTTAAATCTCTGGCAGTTTGGGCCGAGGTGCTCTCCAATGTGCTGAAAGTGTCCTTGTTTTAGCAAAAAAAAAAATTGAACCTTGTGTCCTCTTCCCCAGATCTATTAAGCTGATGAAAATAATTCCATATATTTTCACGATTTTCACTGTTATGCGGATTCTGTTTGTCTATGGAACAATGGTTAGCATTGCTGCCTCACAGCACTGGCGCCCTGAGTTCAGTTCCAGACCTGGGTTGCTATATGTGGTGGTAGTACATTCTCCCGTGTTCGTGCAAGGTTTCCTCCCACAGTCCAAAGACATACAGTACTGGGAGGGGGGGCAATTGGCTTCTAGGACAATTGCCCCTGGTGTAAATGTATGTGTGTTTGTGTCTGTGTCTGCCATGCGATTCACTGAAGTCCCATCCAGGAAGTACTCTGCCTTGCTCCCATTGCCTGCTGGGATAGGCTCTGACTCCCCCCCAGCCCTGTATTGGGCAAAGCGGCTAGAAAATAAACGAATGGATGGATATGCTCTTCTACTCCTTCTTCACAAAAGATGGTCCTTCTCAAAATGTCTGAAGACGATTCAGTCATTGGTGACAGAAAAACTTTAAAATAGATCAAAGAAAGAAAAAAAAAGTTGCTATCACTGGTCTCTAGATGTGACCACAGATAGTAACCCCTTTGTATAAAGAACTCTTTTGATGGTTACTGCGTGACTGCGTGTTGCAGCTGATTATTGGTGCAGATGGCAGCACTGTCACAGTTACCAATGTATTACTTGTAGAAGTCAGGGAAATACAAAAGGAGAAGATGTTGGCATAGCTTGGTCCCAACCTGGTACCCAAGGCAACTCCACTGACCTGTTGGTATAAAAGGATATTGAAAGAAAGTGCACCCAGTGTTTGCTGGGATAGGCCCCGGCTCCCCCACAACCCTCTGTTGGATAAAATGGTTGGAAAATGGATGGATCCATAAATGCATTCAGTGTGAGGATCAAATCTCAAAGCTCATCGTACAAGGGCATGGGTAGAGAGTTCAACACTGTGTGATCGTTAACTGTGTGCTTGAGAGCATCATGGGGAATGATGGTGTACAGAGGTGTGATGTCCATGGTGAACATGAAAAATTCTGGACAATGAAATTGGAAAATGTTAAAGATAACCGAGATACAATGGTTGGTGTTTGTGATATATGAAGGAAGCTTTTCGACCTGTGGTCTCACAAGCCTGTCAAGAAAAGCTGAGATGTGTGTAGTGGGCCAGTAACGGTCTGAGACATTTTGTATCCAGATCGATAGGTAGATTGAGGTAGAATTGAGGTTCCTGAGGATGTTCAAGAATGAGACAGTTGCCCTCCCAGGGATAATTCATTGCTGACTAGAAGTGAGATTATGGATTAAACTTCCTTTTTGGTAGTGGGTGGTAGAATCTCCATATTTTATAAATAACTGCTATATAGTCTATCTGTGACATACCTATCTGTGTATGGAATGTACTGTATGTAATTCTGGACATAACCCCCACAGCCTTGCATATCAGGTTTCACAGAGTCAGCTTCTATAGGTTGACTGTCTTTTAGGGATATATGAGTATTAACCAGCTACAATCATTTCAGAATATCCGTATGTCTAGGCAGGCTACAGCTGCAGATTAAAGTGCACATTTAAAGAAATATATTATATTAATAATAAATATTAGATTATATTTTAAGCACATTTTAAATTACTTAATACCAAACGAACTCCTCAGGTTTTTACCAGTTTGTTTTTTAATCTTTAATATTTCACTGGTATTGCTTCCACCTGACTGAGTTTTTAGATGAGACAGCATTCAGACGAAACGCTTCAAGTACTCTCTCTCTCTCTCTCTCAAGTCTGGGATCTGTGAAACTATTATTTCATTGCACATTCAAAAATCTGTCAGAAGTGTTTCCTCTCGGGAAGTTTTCATTTAAACCTATATGCTCATCATGGACATATTTATTTATTATATTCCTGATTCTTTCTTTTTTTGTGAAGAGCTTTAGGACAGCTTCTTCAAAGTTATTTTTATCTTGACGGCCAAGCAAGGTATTTACAGAGCCTGAAAATATTCAGTACTCTGCTCAAGTGCAGGGCGGAAACAGACAACATTTTGATCACGGAAGTACTTCAAAGCGGGGCGGAAATAGTTGTTGCACGTTGATACGCAATTATTACTTACAAAGACTGCAAGTGCTTCACACTGCTACGAGGGAAACAGTCGAGTTAAAAAGTGAGTGTGAAGCTGGAGACATTACTTTAAAAACGGTAAATTTGCAAAGGTAAATGTCTAACACGCAAATTGAACGTGCAGAGATTAGTGGATCGATTTTGTTACCTTAGTTTTGTTCCGATTTGTAATTTTTAATTGTTATGTACTGGTTCACTCCAGATTCAGACTGGTGAATACACTTTGAATACAACCTAGTTTCTAACAGACACTTAGGTTTATTATATTTGTCTAGCGTTTGTGAGTGACGTTCCCATTATATTGAAGTAAAACATTTTAAATCATATTTGGTCACGTTGTCGGCACAGCTTAAGTCATGTCAGAAAATGTCATTTTAAGGTTCACAAGTGGCAACAATTGAAGTCAATAGCTATTTGTAAGCAGTTCTAAAGTGAGACGCGTAAACAAAGATACCTCGTGACAACTTCGCGAGCGCATCTTGTCTTTATGTCAGGTCTCATGTTCTCATCCAGGAATCAAACTACAACATAGCGGTGCCAAGAAGATGGGGTTCAGAGCGATTCAAACGAAAATCGTTAGACCACTGGGCTTGCATCCGTTTTAAACCGTCATTATCAAAATCAATATTGTAATGTCCAGTATAAATATAACATTAAGGCCTGTATTCTTCGTGAAAAAATTTCATTCTAAAATATTGTTTACCGTTTACCAAGCGATCGCTGTTTTGAACTTGTTTTTATTTAACTGTCGCACTCCATGCTGATGAATCCCAAACACTTTATAATTGGTTAAAACAGAGCAAATCCACCTATCCAGCCTGGAGCATGGGAAGAAACCCACTTGAACACAGAGAGAACATACAAACTCCATACAGATAGCACCCCAGGTCCAGAATCAAACCCGAAGTGGCACTGTGAGGTAGAGATGCTAACGCACAGTGGCACCATGCCACCCACCGAAAAACATACTCAGTTCTGTGCATTCAAATATATATATATTTATCATTATAGTTAAGTATCTGAAAGTATGTTGATGGCGATTAGACAGATAAGAACTAAAGCACTTCAAGGACTTCTGCAGAGAGCTCAGTGTGACACTGTAAGCAAGGTGCCTTAATCTGTTTATCAGAGACTGCAGAGAGATCTAGTAACACAAGTATAGGCACCACGCTGGCATCCAGAATAATATCCATACTGAAACGCCTGTAACAAATCAATCTCACAAATAGCCAAGAAGTCCTTGCTGCTGCTGTTGCATTGCTGCAGGATTGCTTTGTCAGTTTAATCATGTTTTAGATGGATCTCGGTTATGTTGGGAATGTTGCAGAAATGCTCAAGTTCTCATAGGAACATGGTTGACAGGAGTGGGTATAGAATGGTCTAGAAACTGTTCGAATGCGTTATTTCTTGGTTTAACTTGGTAAATTATTTATCGCCCATACACTGGACACACGTATTGTCGGCTTATGTGTTGCGGCAGAGATTATCTGCAGCTGATGATACTGCAAGATGGCTGGGTCTTAGTTTGTTCTGAGTTTGCTACACAGCGGACCCAAACCCTTAGTGACTGGCGAAGACCCTCTGCAGCAGCGACTGTATAACCTTGCGTTGTCCGTTCGCCGCAGGCAAGATGTTGGGGCGCCCCAAGCCTGGGGACTCAGAAGAAGACCTGCTGCGCTATCAGAGGCAGTTCCTGGCTCTGGGGGCAGAGCCAGCAGTGCGGGTGGGGCATCGCCCCGACAAGCGCAGGGGACCCCCAGGAGCCGGCGTGAAGTCTCCTGAGACCGGGGCCACTCCCAGAGACATTGTAAGCATCCCTGGTACGTTCACTGGCACCGACGCTCACTTTCTAAGAGTGGTTTTCTTTAAAATCAAGGAGTTATGGGCCTGCTGTTACCGAAGGAGGTCTCAGATGTGTAGGGATGAAAGGTGTCACAGCCCAGTCCAGTGAAGGTTTGAGATAAGTTTAATTGGGACTAAAATGGCCATTTCCAGAGAACACAGAAGGAGGCGTATAGAAAAGTGTATTTCCCAGAGTGCCCTGAATTACACCAGTGTTACATTTTATTGCCTTGTTCGCCCTATGAATACCATGAACAGTAGTTTGTGAGTGAGCCAGTGGCTTTTCCTGATGATGTTATCCCTGCCTTTCAGCTATTCCTAAGATAACATGTACAACAACAGGTGTATGTTTAAAATTCACTCCAGCGAGCTCAGGGGTAATGACCCTTCAGCCATTCCTGAGCTCTCATGTACAACAACAGGTGACTGTTTAAAATTCACTCCACCCAGCCCAGGAGTAATGACTCCACCAGAGTCAGATGTCTACAAATATCAATGAGGAAAGCTTTGGGGCATAAAAAAAGATCAGTATTGCCTGTTTTATGATAGGAAAACTTTTGCTTAATGTGTTAGTGTTTGGTGTAGTGGTACACACCTCTGGGTTTTGGCGCTTGGGTCTGAGCTCATCTGTGTTGGGTTTAATATCCCCAGACCTGCCAGATCAGCTTCCAACTCTGACCCCTGCTCCACCCAAGAAGTCCCGCCTCAGATCTGAGCGAGTGCACTTTGAAGACGAGGACCCGGAGTCCCGGCTGGACAGACACGACCGTCACGTCACTGCCGTCCTGTCCAAGATCGTCGTACGTCTTCCCTGAAAGATCTGGCATCCTCTCACGCGGGCTGCTTGGTGTTACAGAAACCCTCACCAGACTTTCTCTCTTTCCTTGCAGGAGAGGGACACCAGCTTGATCCCGGTTTGCCTCCCAGAGGTCACAGGGGCTGCTTTCCCCAAAGTCTTCCACAGGTCAGAGGTGAAAGATGAGGTGAGATCCCCTTCGTACCGGTCAGTGTGCAGTCTAATGTTTCAACAGCTGTTTTGACTGTTTGAAAGCCATTGCTGGTGCTCTGGTCAGTTATAATAATAATAGTTTTAAAAATATATATATAATAAAAGTAGTTGCAGTATTACAAATGGAAAGCAATATCCAAAATCATTTTTTTCATGTTCCTTTAGAATTACTACAGAGAAACATGTCATATTAAGCCCATTATTAAATAAAAATAATTGTTTCTAATCTGTAAGAGAATGCAGAGAAATCAACATTGTAGCTGTGCTCATTGTATATTGAGCATCCTGGTGCTGTGGGTCAGGGGTTACTGCTGGTCTGTGCAGGGTTGATGCCTACTTTACTTTCAGCATTAATGTAAATTCGTTCTTTTCCAGTCCTCATTTATTGCACTTGTTACCATTTAGGTGTGTGATTCCTGCATTGCTATAGCATTTTGTTTCCAGTCCATGCAGGCACCAAGGCCCATTGGCAGAAAGAGTATTTTTGCACAGAAGATCGCTGCCCGAAAAGCAAAGGAGGAGAGCCTGCCTGCACACTTAGGGTCTACAGGTCAGAGGGTAGACCTTCCACAGGCAGTACCCATGGAGACTGAGCAGCCTAATGCTCCAATTGTAGGTGAGTCCAGCTGCTCTTTTCTTAAGCTCCACTTGACATCTTGTGATGTGAGGGAATGATGCAGTAGAAACAGCTACCTAATATTGCATTCTTGGGGTTTCTGTAAAGAGACGGTCCAGAGGTCCAGCCTGGTGACAGGGCAGGGCCTGGGGAATACAGACAGCTCCTTGGAGGTGAGGAGGATTCACGAAGAGAATGAAGCCAGGCTGAAAGGCATGTCCGAGGCCGAGATCCTGGAGGAAAGGAGGAAGTTGCTCTCACAGCTGGGTGAGTCTTCCCGGAGATTGAAAATCCCACATTGGTTAGGATGGAGCCTTGAAATGAGGAAGCATCATTTTCTGCTTCTACTTTCTATTTCTCGCAGATCCATGTTTTGTATTTCAGTTTTTTGGACTCCGTGACAAAAACAAGTGTTTGCATTATAAAGTGTCAATTTAACCCTAATTTGCTGTTCTTAAAATTGCATTACTTAAGGGGCAGCTTTTGAGACAACATGTGGGTAATGCAGCGTGAACTTTAAAATGTCATTTCAATACATTAAAAAGGCATCTCGTCAGTGACCACTTACAGTACCTGTACCGTTATTGTATTACAGTATTAGGTACCGTTTTGTGTAGTGCTGCGTAACGTATCACTGTACAATTGTCTAGCTGGGAATGGGGGCAATGGCCGTGCTCTCATCTCTGTCTGTGTCTCTGGCCTTCAGACCCAAGGCTGGTAGACTTTGTGAGATCTCGCAGAAACCAGGGTGGCCCGGCCCCTGCTGCGCCCACTTCACCCCTGTGGGCAGAGGGTCCGGCGAACCAGGGGCGCACAGACACACAGGCAGACGCTGTGGAATCGATCCCAGGGGAAGAGCAAGCTGGGATGGAGACGGAGGAAGATGAACAAGACTTGGAGTCAGAGCCTGAGCCGGCAATAACAGGTAAAATGGGAGAGGGATGATGTTGGACAGACAGCAATTGAGTCCTATCGTCTTCAGTTTAGGGGGACCCCAGGATGCTTGCAGGTGAAAGTCATCGTTGTGCAGTCACAGACGTTGAGTGATATAGAGATTTAATCAAAGATCTTTGTCTGGGCATTCGTCCTCTAGGCATTGGGCTTTGATGTAGGCCCGTCTGGAAGAGGTTCAGTAGTGTTAGTTGGGCGGCTGTTGTCCTAATTGTTGAACAATAACTTTTCGGAAGCAAATAAAAGCTGTCAATTTCTTGTTTAACCCATGTTGCAGCAATTAAAGTAAAATTCAGCCTAGGAAGGTCGCTAAGAGATTTTGCCAAATTACATTTCGAACTATGTCAATTAAAAAAAATCAGGTGTTAATTTTTAAATATACTGTGCAGATATTTGTAGTGTTGTCTCTCCGACAGCTCCAGTAAGCACCGTTTAATGTCTCCCAGACGACACAGTCAGAGTAATTAAAAATCATTCTGTGCGTGGAGGTCCTTATTAATGAAAGAATTTAAATATTCTCATTTAATGGTATATTTATCATGCTTTGTCAGGTAGTTGTGCTTTATCTATCAGGTTCACAGTTAGGCACAGTAGCCCCATTTTGAGCTGTTTCTGAATGCAGTTCACAAAACATGAGTGGAACTTCTCCCTTTTAGAGCAATATCTAATTTCAAAATTAATGTAATATGTGCTACTGTTTCTTCCACATTTGACTCATTATAATTCACTTGTGCCACACATACTTCTCTTACTGCAACACCTGAATGTATTAAAAAAAGGGAACTGAGGCAGTGTGGAGGATTTAAGTTGCAAAATTGTGAGGTCACACACGAAAGGGAGCAGTGCGGAGAGTATGATGTAGCCACTATTTAGCATTTTTGCATGATATCCACACTTTAGCATTTTTGCATTTAAAGCTCCTTGTTATGTAGGATAGGAGCTGCAAAACATAACTACTGTATGCAGGATTTCCTGGATTGTGGAAGCTGCATTTTGTAATGCTTTTCCATGTGGTCTCCGCTCCATAACCAATTGATTAGCCATCTCCAGTCTGACAGAAGTAACTTCAGGAGCTGTTGTTTGAATTGCTGACATAATCCCAGCACGTAGCAGCCCCCCCAGACATTATCTGCATAGCCTGCATCCCATTGATTTCAATTAGTCTGATTACCCAGCACTGCCAGAATCAACCTGGATTTATTTCTAAGGGAGATAAAACCAGTCCAAGGCAGGTTATGTATCTGCCTATAGATAAATAAATTAAGAAGTGGTTTAACCACACAAAGTAGGGCAGTCACTTTAAAACATCACAGGATTAATATGTTAAACTTTGTTGGGATGAGATTTATGTACCTCCAGTGCAAAGCAAAAAGGGACAGTTTTGCATGTTGCAGTGTGAGGTTTTCCCATTGCAGTGTTGTAGATGTCACAGTCCCTTGTACTGCTGAAAGTTTATGTACACCCCTCAAGGAAAAGAAAGTAGTTGAGCTCAATCTTTGATTTACTTCTGTTTTCTGAGTTGCATTGTTTTTGGTGTTTTCAGTTGTCATAAATGTGTTGTCTTTCTAAATTGTGAAAAGAGTTCAGCACTGCAGCAGAAAAACAGTACTTCATGGTACTAATTTATTGTGAAGACCTCAGCCATCTGTAGCTTGTCCATCATTCTGGCCCTTTGCTGACCTCAGCTCTGCCAAAAGCTGAATCGCTGGAACAACAGAGGACTGTTTGTACTTCTGAGTGTTTCTGATTCCAAATGAGTATTTGATGCCTTTCCAGAAAGCAATTTCGGTTTTGAATTCTCTTGGAGACGGTGTCCCTGAACGGGGATTTGTCAGGGCAGGGCTCTCAGGATGGCCGTCCACAGACGGTGATCTCGTGAATGAGTGTCAGGTGGGTTGTGTCTTTAGTGGCGGAGCTCCCGGTGAAGCCTCAGAAGGAATGGATTCACATGGACAAACTGGAGCCGGAGAAGCTGGAATGGCTGAGAGACCTACCGGCACCAAGGAAGAGAAGAACGAAGGAGGTCAGAGGGATAAGGGAGGGATTTCCTTTGTGAACAGTGGAGCAAAGGCATAATCATGCATTGAAGGGACAGGGAAACAGAAATCTGTTATGAAGGACTTACAAAAGTTTTCAGCTTTAGGGCATGAAAGGTAAACGTGACTCCCAGGATTTTGCTGCAAACTGCTTGAGATAAAAAAAGAGTGACATCTGCAGCAGATGAATGGAATTGCCTTTTTAATTACTAAACAGAAGCAAACCTTTTATAAATACGTCTGTTTGCCTGAAGCATCTCTTAATGCTGAGGCATTAAGCATCTCTTCATAAATAACCTTTACACAAACTTGCAGGTGATAAATTGGTTTCTGAAAGTTTCTGAAATATAATTCAGTTTGTTGTTTCCCCTCTAACGTCATGGGATTGTCTAGCTTTAGTCTCCCTCCACACTTGTTCCTTACTCAGTGAGGTCCAGAGTTGGAAGATGGAGACGCCATCGCAGTCCTGAGTGTTTCTGGGTGTTGACAGTTGGGCGTCTCTCTCTCTCTCTCTTGGCAGGCCATGCTGGCTCGTTTTGATTTCTCTGGGGTTCTGATCCCCCCCACGGAGGACCTGCCCACACACCTGGGTCTTCACCATCATGGAGCAGATCCTGAGGTCAGTCCCCAGTGCCTGGCACGGCCTCGGCACTGTGCCTATATGCAGGGCACTCGCCTGGCATGGTGTCCGAGAGCAGTGCAGAACGAGGCTGAATATAAAACCCTTAATTTGTTGCTTTGGTATTTTTGGCATGATTCTCTTACATGGAATGGGCAGTCTAACTCGCCATGCTTTGCAGAAATGTAATAGTCTTGTATGTAACTTGAGCTTTTCATAGAAAGCGTTAAGCTTAAGTTTACAGGAATGGATATAATGTTATGTACATCTGCATTTAGTACTGTAACCGTTTTTTTTTAGAAAATAAAATTGGAATGAAAAGAAATGTCAAACAAATAGTTTAAGTCATTCACCCTGAAAAATATTTAGGTACGTCCAAATATTCATGCTACTCCTGACTGCATTTAAAAGGATTTTGAATCGCCATCTGTCCTATAAGTGAAATGTCTGATTATGTACACTAATTCAGTTTTCCAGTGTTTTATAACACAGTTCGATTGTACGCGTCTCATTGGCTTGTGTGTCTAAACAGCCTGTATTAACAGGTCTTCAGCCTTGATATGGGTGCATCTGTATCTGTGAGGGTGTATATCTGCAGTACAGTGACAGGCTGCCCTCCTGTCTCCACAGCTGGCTGGCTACTCCCTCCAGGAGCTCTTTCTCCTCTCCCGCAGTCAGGTGACCCAGCAGCGCTGCCTGGCCCTCACCACCCTGGCACGTGTTTTACACAAGGTAACCGTGGCAACCGCTCCAGCCGTGGCATAGACCTCAAAGCACAAGGTCTTATTGGCTGCACATCCTGAGCGCTAATCCCTATTAACCCGCCTGACTCCTCGCCACGCCAAAATGAAACAAAATCCTGGCCAGACTCCCATTGGATGAGCGCAGTTTCGACAGTCACTCTGTGTTCAGGGACCGACGCAGCCTGCATCGGGTATGGAGATCAGGTGCCACTACATTAATCTGGTTATCACCTCGGCAGTAAGAAATTAGAAGCATTTTGATCATGGTTTAATTACAAAAGCTCATCATATATACATGGGGGTTATCAATTGTTAAATCAATAACCCCTGCAATAATGATAGTCCTAAAAAATACAAAATATACAAAGACATTAAAAAAGTAGCAAATGCTATTGGTCCCAATACTCATTTATTACATTTTAATGTCTCAGTATTTTTCTCTTACACCTCTTAACATAGAAGTAAATTAAAGTGCAGCGGGGGAAAAATAACTGTGAGTATACCAGGTTTGAAGCTCGTAGATTTTGTTTCTATTCAGTGCACATTCTACTTCATTCATTCACAATTCCACATTGTGTTTAGCTATCTTCACAGTATCTCCCATACGCTCGGCATGATCACAACAGTGCATATAGATTATATGTGTCCCAATCAGTCATTGCCTCATTACATCCACAAGACAGTGCCTCTTTGTCAGCACCGAAATTCTACCAGCCATAGTACAAAAAAGCTTATGTTTCGCAGATTAGTGTGTTAAAGTTTACTGTTATCCTTTCTCAAGTGCAATGATCATTATTGTACAGTGAACATGTTTTGCAAAGAATATTATTTAATGTGTGCTAGAGTATATATCTAAATGGGCATCAGACAAGATCTCTCTTCCGCTCCTTCCTCCCCAGGCTCGCGCAGGGAGCTTTGCCAGCTCTCTGAAGGGCAGTGTCCTTCGTGCCCTCCTGGACGCCGGCCTACTTTTTCTGCTGCGCTTCTCCCTGGACGACAGCGCGGAGGGCGTCATGGCGGCCGCGGTGCACGGCCTGTGGGCTCTGCTGGTGGCACCCGGCGATGAGGTGAGGCATAGCGGGAGGATTGGGTGAGAAAGAGGAGGGCAGACAAGCAGGGGTTAGGAGCTGCCAGGGTCAAGAAGCACAGTCCAGTGTTAAAACGTGTCAGAAAATAATTTGCCTTTTTTGGAATAGTCCCATAAAGTTGTCATAGTGATTACTGGAGGAATCGTTTCTCTTCTTGAATCTCAGGTCTGTAACGTGCGCAGCTCCCAGCAGAGAGCCAGCCTTTGTCCCGCAGACTGGTGTGATATTTTAATGAGGAAAGAGTACCTATTACTCAAGCACTTCCAGTCATTTTACAGAAAGATATTGCTAAAATCTCAGAAGGTTGTTTTCTTAACTCTTTAAAATCCCAAATAGAATAGCAGTATTCTAGGAATTTAGCATTTTTTTCCAAATTTCTTTTAACACATTAGTGTTACAATTGGGGTGTTGCGAAACTAGTGAATATCAGGAATTGATCAATAGGTTTAGTCAATAAGTGAAATAAATACTCATTCAATTTGTATGTAATTTCTCCAGAATATCCCAAGCGGTTGGTATAATTAGATGCATGTGAATTCTTTATTCTCTGGCACAGCTTTGGTGACAAGAGTAATAATCCAGGCACACTTGGTTAAGCAAATGTGTATTAACAATGACAAGACAAACAGTATGCTGCAGACAACAACAGTAACGCACAAGCTTCTCTATGTATACAACAAACGACAGACAATGCATTTCAGAGGCCTAGCATCCTTATCACCCAGAAAATCTGAGACTGTTATCAAGTATTGAACTCTTCGGTAATGCCCACAGAGGCCACAGTAAGAGATAAGCTGGAGCTGCCACCTTAATAAATGTACAACCTGCAGTTAAATTCCTCTCTCTGCAAACTCAGGTGCTACAAAATAAAAGGGAGCCTATTCTAAAAATGCACCCTTAAGCCAGAAATACCTTTCTAACCGAGGTGTCTTTTACCCAGGAATCCCATGTTTCTTGAAAACACAAAATAAACAAACTCTCTTTAGCAAGGTTCATGCACTTAGTTCTAATCAGGTTTTGTTCGGATGATCATGAAATAGGGGCTCTAGCCTGGCGCAAGCTTCAAATTCCAACTCCTTCTGACTCCCCTCTTGTCCGTTTCTCTTCTTTTTTTCTCTCTTCTCTCCTTCTGCCCTTTCTCTCCCCTCTCTGTCAATATCATCTTATTTGGTGTGTTTCTGGAACACATATTCTTCTGTTCTTCAAATAAGACAAATCTAATTTCTGTAGCCCACAGCATAGATTTCAGTGGCTCAGATTCAGTATGGGCTGCAGAGTTCAAAATTTAATTTTAGTTTTGGACTTGGGCGCTGTCTGTGACTGCCTACGTTTCTGTCACGATCGCCCTCAGTGGGATCTGTAGACTTGCTGTGCTCAGGTGTACAGTTCCCTGGGAACCCCAGCCAGGCACGGACAGCCTGTGGTGGTACCAGGAGCCTGCTGTGTGGAGCGTTTGCCCCCAGTCGCCCCCAGTCTTCAGAGAGAGGGCTTTTAATCAGCAGATCAATGGTGAAGACTGCCCTATGAATGCTAACTAATGGGTGAGAGTGATTATTGTAATTAAGTGGCAAGGAAAGCTCAGTAATTAATTACTCAGGTCCCCATCTTTCTCGCAGAGGGCTGTGCTCTTTGTCGACACCTGTCATTTTGTTGCGTCTTTATTTTTTATTTTTCTGCTTTCTCCCTCTCTTTCCTTCGTCCGCCTCCTTCATCCCCGCTCAGTTTCAGTTTGTGGGGAGCGAATGAAGCATTCTTTCCTTTAACTGCTTTTGTGTCCTTTTCTAGGTGTACACGGGCTTGAGCTCTGTGTTTGTCTTATTCTTTCACTCCTTCTTTCTCTTCATCTCTTGTCCTTTCATTTTCTGCTGCCTCTCCTCGGTGTGCCTCTGCATTCTGCTCTCATTTTCTGTGTCTGTTTGCCACAGCTCACCACCTGTTCCCCATGAACTACCATTCTTTTTCCTACCCCCCCCAAAGAAAACCCTTCCTTTTCTCTTTTCTGGTCTCTTACTGCTACAAGGGTAAGGTGTTATGCTGTGAATTTCTTGGCTTGCAACGTGTCATTTATGATGGCTGAAAAGTTCTAGAAATCACATTTGCACCTTTTTGCCAGCCATGCAGTGTGCTAAGAGCTGAGGGGCCGGGTCATTGTGGTCTTTTAGCATCAGCTGAAGAACTGTCTGGCAATAAGTGCCTGCGTTTGTGCATTAAGGCATGAAACCAGGGGTTATTGAAGGACTCAGTGCAGTTCAGCTCAGTGGTTGAATCGCAGAGGTGTGAAGGGAGGCAGTGAGGTCTGATGGTTACAGATGAGGGAATTAATGTATGTTTCCCAGCTAAAGACTGTCTACTTGCAAACCCAAGACGTCATAGAATGGTTCATACAGTGTCAGCTCTATAATAAAATTGATTAATAAACTTAGTTGCTGGAAAATGCAAATCATCAGAATATCAGAATGCTTACAGTTTGGTATCTAGCAGCAGATTAATACAGGGATCTCATTTAGCCTTTTGTTTTTAAAGAAGCTAGGGTACTGGTTTAAAAACTAAAATTACACTTACTGTAGGGTAAAAGGTGATGTATTTGATGTTATTACCTTTTCTGATTTGCCTTTCTTAAAAATGGCTTATTTGAAAGTAATGCAATCTCCTGGTTGTTTTGGGTTCAAAGCACATCAACAAACCTGTAATATAAAATCGATATATGTAAAGTGCATTGAATCATCCTTTTGTTTACTCATGCTTTCAAAGACTTTTACTGGTTTGGATACCTGTTTAGCATTTTGATTTTGATTGCTTGTCTACAGTGTCTTCCTTACTGTATGTCAGTCATGACACACATCACATTGAGGCATGGGAGCCTTCTTGCTGTGTAATGATTTTGTGTAAGATACAATGACTTTATGTTAATAAACCTTTTATAGACATTGTGTTTTACTGCCCCCTGATCCAAATATAAACTGACCAGAGGTGTCGGCTTGTTTATGGTATAATGCTATTAATACATACATGACAAGTATTTTTAATGTAGAAATATATGTTTCAAAATGGCTTTTTTGGGTTGATCTAGTTTTCATTTCATTTATTTCTGTGCTGCCAGTAGAAGCTAAAAACAGTGGTCGATTGTGTGCCTTTTGTCAGCAGACATAGGCTGTCAGATGTGATTAATGTTTATGAGACAGTGTCAAGGATTTTACACCCCTTCACCTGCGAATAAGGCAGTCATGAACACGCATCATGTAGGAAATGTTGTGCATGCAAACATGCCATTCTGATAAAATCTTCACTGTCGGATGTCTGACAAACTTATTTTGGTCATCTTATGGACTGATGCTGGTCCGCGGACCAGTGGTTAGGAATCACTGATGTAATAAACATGCTGATCTTATTGCGTTAAGAGAATTGGTTTTCATTCATTTGTATTGAGAAAGTATGTAGCAAACTTGTATGAAGCCAAATTGTAAATCAGTCTATATTCTGAGCAGTGAGCATGCAGGGGGTGACTTACAGTTCCCTTATGTGGTTTTGCCCCCTATAACTACTTATAAATAATCTATGGTGGAAACCCAGGAAAGGTTTGTAAAGGGAAGTGGAGTTAGTAGGTAATGAGTGGCCAATCAGGATGCAAATTGTGGGGATGTACTGGTAAAATAAGCACAGGTGAGTTCTAAGCCCAGGCATGTGTGGATCTCTTTCAGGAGTGTCTGGACAGGACCTTTTCCTGGCTCCATGGGGCACCCACCTTCCCCTTCTTGCCCTCCACGCAGGAGGAGGAGGAGGAGGAGGAAGAGGAAGAGAGCGGCCAGCAAAGGCCAAAGGAGACAGCCGAGAAGAAGGAAGAGGAAAAACCTGACCACGATGTGGCCCGGGTCGATGTTGTCAAGGTAACATCCCGGTCTCCCTTTCTGCATTTCAGTCCGTCTCCCCTGAGGGCTGTTTATTCTGCAGCCAGGGCTACTACTGGTCCGCAGTCTCTCATCCTCCGGCCCCCTGCCTGCTCCCTCACAGGGCCTGTTGAAGATGAAGCTGTTGGGACGACTGCGCTATATCCTAGAGGTGGTGCGGCCGGCCCCCCGCGTGGTCCGGGACGCCCTGGAGATTCTCATTAGACTCGCACGCCATTCCCCCTCTGCTGCCAGCCAGGTGACGATCACCTCCGCCAGCCTTCCCAGGAAAACCTGCGTCACCTCTGTCATCACAAAATCACCAACGCAAAAAGGAAACAAACCTTGACATTACTGTAAATATGACTCTCGAAGCTCAAGCACAATAATGAGATGACCTCTTACTGTAAGCATAGTAGTTAAAAACTATAAAGAAATCGACTGGTATTATTTATTTGCCTGAGTGACCGTCTTATTCAATGCAGCTGTAATTATGTGGTCATTCGCCAGACAAACTCAGTGATAATCATCATTTATTCCCACTACTGGACTATTCTGGTGTTTTTAAAATGAAACTACTGCCCTTGTCATCTCATCTGAAAAGAGTATGTGTTATGACGTATTGGAGCCTTCCCTCAGCAGTAGTGTTTCTGACAGGGTGTTGATGTGACAGGTGCTGGACTGTCCTCGTCTGATGGAGACTGTGATGCAGGAGTTCCTGCCCTGCTCTTGGTCAGCTCCCCCACCTACTCTAGAGAGGCCACATGGGCTGCCTGTTGCCGCGGCAATGAAGCTGGTGCGCATCCTAGCCAGCTCGGGGAGACACGCGTGCGCCAGACTGGTGGGTGTTGTTTCCCTGCAGTAACACTAACTCTTGCAAAAGGCAGAGCAAACAAAAGCATAAAAGCATTTCTGATGTGGGACCTACTACAGGATAACAACTTGTTTTAATAGGTAGTCTAACAATTTAGTTATTAAGAGGGCCCTTCTATGAATGCTCTCTTATTGTGACATTAATTCTCAAATTCCTTATGATGGAGCAGTTTTTATTGACTGTGGAATTAGGAGTGATCCCTAGAATTGCACACACTTAATACTCCACCTTCTCCAAAGGTTTGTTCTTTGTTGTTGACTTTTTTCTTAAATTTGTTACCCTGTCCTTTATTCCTCGAACCGTTAAATGAATCATGGGCTGATTGAATTGTTTTGCTTTGTCTCTTCTGTCATCTCAGGTCCTGATCTCAGGTCCTGAGATCTGTGACTCAGGACCTTTGTGGATGTCATTTTGTGGCTCATTTTGTGTATTTGTGCTGTGTCTCTTTATCCCCTTCCAGCTGAACAAACTGGGAGCCCGTGAGCGTCTGTCACGTTTCCTAGCAGTGGAGCCAGAGGAGCTCCTGCTGGAGCCAGGAGAGGCCCTGAGACTCGGCACCGAGGCTCTGAGGCTGTGGAGTGTGGCAGCTGGGTATGGCCAGGCCTGTGACCTTTACAGGTGAGTGTGATGAGACCGAGAGAGAATGACGAGGTGGGGCTGTAGGGCTAAGAATGATTTTGAAGTCCAGGGGAGAGAGACCTGGGTTAGTCTCACACCAGGTCAGTATATCAGCAGGGATTTGTTAAGACATGAATGTGAAATTCTAGCATATTCGTTCTTAGCAAATAAACTCTTTTTACCGAACAGCCCCTAAATAGCTTTTTTTCCTAGATATTTCAAATGTTGATTTGTTGCGTGTTTGTCACTATTTATAGGCATCCTCTGAATGCTGATGCTGCCTTGGTTCCTCATTTGAGGAAGGAATTAATGCTGTTTCCAAGTTGTTTGCTATTCACTGATAAGCTTTCATTGTGTGTCCTTGCCTTCATCACAGATTTGTGGTGCTTTCGGATAGTTTAGTCTATACCAGGGGTCAACTCATTCTAGATTCAGGAGTCTCTCATAGTCCTAATCTGAATATTTAGTGCATGCATGGTCTAGATCGCAGTAATATACAACTGACTAATGAAATATGTGGACAACAAAAAAGAATTGTCAGTCTAAAATTGTAACTTTCCCTCTTTAAATTGTTTCTCAGGAATTAGTACTTAAGGTTTTTTTCCAAGCCTTGTTTAGTGTAGTTAATCATGGATGGTAGAACATTTTAATACTCATAGGCTTCAACCAGCATAGAGAGAATTGTTGGATTTGGTTTTGAAATTTAGAGCTTAGTGGTTACTCCGTCTTTTTATAAAATACCCACCATATTGTGCGTATGGGATATGATAAGAAATGTTTTACAAAATTGTTAGTGATGAAATTAACACCTACCCCGGTTGTCATACATACAGTATTTATAGGCACCCTCTGAATCCTATTATATCTAAACTGCATAAATCTAAATGCATATTAAATCTAAACTTTGTGTTATCTTTAAGGCCTTGATGACTAGTGGTCAGGAACTACTAGTAAGAACTGAGATAGACGTTGCTTATATGAGTCATAATCTGTTTCCGTCTCCTCTTAGAGACCTCTATCCCATCCTGGTCAAGGCCCTGCAGTCTGTGCCCAGAATGGTATCCCAGAAACCCCCTGGGGATTCTCTCTGTAATCTGAATCTTCAGAGAGCGGAGGCCCTGATCACACTGCTCACCAATGTCACTCACACTGCTGGTTGCCACCAGGAGCTCCAGGCAGACCTTGCCAGGTAAGCTGCATCTCATTCCCCTGTCTGTCTCAGGAGACATAGACATGTCTCTTCTTTATGTGGAAAGACTAATTTTTCTCTAAAATATCAAGTGGCCAATGACTCCAATAACCTCCAGTTACCAGGAGTTACTAAAAACATACTTAAATAGCCTGCTCACGTCTAACGTAATGGACCATGCTACCTTGAAATGCAACAGACATCCCCATCAGGTGGTGCACACTATTTAGCACTGTGACCACTTGAACTGTAGCAAATATATACTGAATGGCACTTGTGCTCATGGACAGTGTACAAAGGAACCTTAAAGTCAAGCTGTCAGTGGATTTAGTTTAAAATACAGAGCTTGTAGAGCACAATATCTAATTAGTATTTTAAGTAGATTCAATGTCTTGTTTGATGGCATTGTCCCTTAAGCATTTGGCCATATTACAGTGAAAGGCTGGTTTTGTTGCTGGGGAGAATAACAGGTGTCATGTTAATGTCACGGTGTTGTGTTGTCATTCTGGCCTTGTCTGAGATTGTGACACTCCACTGTCTCTGTCCCAGTTCCCCTGAAGGACAGCACCTGCCCCCTCCCCCGGTAGAGTGGAGTCATGTGACGGGGCTCCGGCCCTTCGTCGAGGGCTTGCTCAAAGCCTGTGTGAAAGGCCTAGCGGACCCAGCCCAGAGAGAGGCTGTTCTGAGCCTGGTGCCCTCACACCTGGTCTACCTGGGCGCTTTCTACACACAGCTCAGGAGGCAGGTCAGTGACAGAACCGGTGTTGACATAGGGAGTAATGCCCTGATTCTATGATAAGTTTTCAGGGAACCTGCAATAATTGGTCCACAAAAGCTACAAGACACTTGTTTCTTTAAGATGGTGTTAACACAGTTTGAATTGTAAATGTGTGTAGTCATTGTGTTGATTGTATTTGCTTTAGCAGCACTGTATGTCATCGATCATGCCAATAAAACTAATTGAATTGAGTTGGAAGTGGTGAATAATAATGTAGCTTTGTGTCCCTTACTCTTACCTTTAGGGCTCTTTCCGCCCAGTGGACTGTCTGCAGGAGATGGAGGTCCTCACCTCAGAGATCCTCCTGCCACTCCTGTCCCATCAGGCTGTGCGCAGCATGATTGACAAGCTGAAGTGAGTGTCATATTTACCTGTCATTTGGCCGCTGACAGCATCGTGTTAATGGACTGATTACAACTTTCCATTAAGGGTTCAATATATACACATAGCCTAAAACCCAGAGGGGTGTGGCTCTGCATGACAACAGCCATGCTCACTGTAGACCGAAAGGGATCTGGAATGGTTAATAGGGGCTCCTGATGTCCTTCTTATTGGTTACTCCTGACATACTACACATCTTCATCTGTGTTCTTTAACTACAGCATTGTCGAAAATGGCATATGTGTATTTGTGTCTGATTCTAAGTTTTATTTGGGTTTATCTGTTATTATTTTCCATTCGGTGTATGTGTGTTTCAGGAGCTGCTCAGTACTCTGTAACCCCACCTCATGCAGCCCGGGCTCAGAGACAGTGCCCAATTTGCCTGGCCTGGCATTGTCTGAGGGAAAGCCTCCTCTTATCATGGCTGATGCCAGCTCACCCTTTCCCTTCCTTACGGGACTCTGCTACCTCCTTAATGCCATGACCAGCACTCACCGAGGGCTCACTGACAAGGTACGTGCTCTCACACGTGGCGCAGGCAAATGTTATTCCTGGCCATTCACCGAAAGCAGAACAAGCTTGGTCATTGTGACGTTTATGTTTCTCCAGCTAAATGTTGCAATAGAGGTGCAGTTCATGTATTTAAAATGTATTTAACTGATTTTGATGTTTTGAATTTTTTACTCCCCTTTGCACCAGACACAGTTCGGAGGCTGATTTCAGATGGGTGGGTTGAGTGATTGGAAATAAGGGGTTTTCAAGTTTGTCTGATCATCTGAAAACCAATTGTGTAGAAAGTGATTTTGAAGGAACTGAAAAGAAAATATCCTATTAGCACTGCAAAACCGATTTTGGCATCCCTGACATACTTTCTAGAATGTCCCCTAACTGCTTCTGTTGAGCATCGCCCTGCAGTATTACTCCTGTGACCGGAGAGAGAAAAATGTTACCTTGACTTTTGAGTAGTCATGAACAATCCAGTGCTTCTTAAGGTAAAATTCTTCTTTGTTATCCTGACATACAGAGTGTTTACAGATACCAGACATCTAATTTATTAACAAGGATGGCTAATTACTTAGTCACGTTTTTTATCTTCTCCTCCTGACTGCGCCCAGAGAGCTGACAGTAATTAGCTAGGAGGACTACGTGAAATCAGCCAAGCTTTTGTTCAACTTTAATTGGAGAGATTCCTCTAAAACGGACTGGAGCACACAAAATCCACGCGGACTGACACGCACAGGACACACAGGCATCACATTCTTTGCAAAAATGTTTTCTAGCATTCAGTCAGAATTAGCAGTGGGTCACATTTTGACCTTAAGAAAAATGAAGACCCTGAGGTTTGCATTTCCTGTATTATGAATAGATAAAAAAACGGTTGTTGAATAAAAAGAGGAATAACTCAGTTAAGAGACCTTAAAGCAGCCTTTTAAGTCCCTCAACAGAACATGCTTGAAATCCTTTAAAGTTCCAACAGTTGTTCTCTTCTGCTGTGGCTGTATTATCTACTGTACAAGAGTGCTTTTACCCCATCTTATTCCACCCCAAGATCACTCTGTAGTGTTTTTGGGGTTCACTGATTATGGAATAGGGGATTATGGGGCACTTTCCCTCAAAGGGACACAGAAGCAACACAGGCCCAATGGGGGAATATTTTTTAATTCTCCCACTCTGTGTACACGGCTATCTTCCATACCAGTAAAGCGATAAAACTGTGTTGCATGAAATGAGCAGTAGTGAGCAATAAAACACCGGTTCAAGCTGTTATTACAAGAGAAAAACATTTCTCCATGGACTTGCAGGTTTATAATTTATTATGCTGTTGTTTAGGTCTTTAGCCATCCTTCTGATTTTGGAGGGAGTTGGAAGCCTTTGACTGGAGAGTGTCACTTCCATTACAGTGCTTGTGTTCCAGCTTGCATTGACTGCCTTATGTAGCACCTCTCTTGTTCTAAATCTGCTTTTAAATGAAACTCATTCATTCATTCATGAGGCACTGTAATGGCTTGAAATCATGAGTCTACTGTGATTAATTACTTTTCCCATTGATAAAAATTGAAGCAACTGTTCTTCAAGTTGGATAACTAAATCGCTCCAGTAGGAAGCATCATAATCTCTTGAAGCAAACTAGTTAATTACTGGTTGATCCAGTGCTGGTATGTATCTTTGGCAAATGCGATGTATTTTACAATATTCTTGCCACAGAGAATAAACCCATACACATACAGCTTTTACGGACAGTTCTCTTCAGAGCGGCTGGTTGGTTGAACTCATATATTGTGTTTAGGCTCTTACACTTTTGAAATGAGTTAAATACTAAAATGGCCCAATTGGCTAAAATGGACCTGCCTCCACTGAGGAAGAATGTATCTAAAAAGGGCTGCAGTGTTGTGCCCTTGAGTAAGTTAAATTTCTGAAATTGCTTCATTAAAAGGGCCTGCTATTTAAATAGACACTCTCCAGGTCAACATTGTAATGGAGAATTTTGTTCTCAATTGACTTATCTGTTTAAATAAAGGATTTACAGAAAACAGTAAAGCTGGATTGGAGAAATAGCTTTGTGTCTTAGTAAGTGCTCAGTTGAGGCTACACTGAATTCATAACTATCAAGAGAGTGCTCAGGAAACACTTCAGATTCTTCAAATCATACAAAGAAGAGGATTAGAAGAGATTATCTGAGCACTACTGCATGAGGTATCTTTCTGAAACCTCTAATGCGAATACTCCAAGGTTCTCCTGTTTGAGCTGAAGCTGTGGCACAATGCTTGCCTGCTTTATTAGGATCTGCATGCTGCACTGATTGAGTTATTTTTGGGCCATAACCCTGGGGCAGATGAGCAGTCCATATGGTGAGGTAAGAATTTAAGTACACTTAGAAATAATAGATTTTTTGAGAAGTCTGGCGGCAGGCCAGCAAGGCAAGGCCAGACTAGAATTCATAATTCAAATATTCAAACCAAAAAGGATAAAAGGAATAACACCATTTACATTACTGCACATATTTTCTGTTTAAAAGGATGGTTAGTGGCTCTTAATTTCCTCGCACCTGGCAACCTCTAAAATCACATCTTTGTTTTTTTTGGCTCCATTGAGATGAACATTGTTCTTCCATTTTATTCATTTTTAAGGGCAGAGCCCTCTCAGACCTGTCCAATCATAGCTGTGTCACGTGCTCAATGTGCCTACTTGATGTGTGCTCAAAGTAGCAGGAAATGAGAATCGACGACTCCTTAATTTTCTCAATCAAGGTGGCCTGAGTTCTCCTATGCAAATAGAGTTCTTAACAAACGTTCAGAAGGGGTGACGGCAGCCAAAGTGTCCCTCACATCTGTTGCTCCAATTCATAATTCTCTATGATGTAATTTCCTGAAAGAACTATGAACACCACAGTGTGCTCCTTTGTGTATCCACACTCCACCCCATCCACCTCTGCAGCTGTGCCTTGATTAACTTCTCTCTCTGTATGGGGGTTCTGACTTCCTCATCCTATAGCCGGGTGGCTGGCCATCACGCCAAGCACCCAGTGAACGATCTTAACTGCGTTTTCATATTGGGTGATGTTATTCCTCGTGAAGCAAGGATAAAACAGAGAAATAAGACAGCTTGTAGTTTTTAAGAACTAAAGCATGATCCAGACATAATCCTTTTGTTCATCTTGGAAATCGTCTTAATTTGCAGTGCTACATTTTTATATGGTAACCGCTATTTGTAGTTCTTTTTTAAAAGCTCCACAAAAAAGTCAGCCCCTGGATGTTGACACTATAATTCACAGCAGTTCTTGGCCTTAGAAACATGGTCTTGTTAGCCAGCAGCCATATCACCCTGCAACTCACAACTGGCAGCCCACTGAAGTTAAGCAGGTGTGAGCCTGGTCAGTACCTGGATGGAAGACGTCCTGGGAAAAACTAAGGTTGCTGCTGGAAGAGGTGTTAGTGGGGCCAGCATGGGGCGCTCACCCTGTGGTCCATGTGGGTCCTAATGCCCCAGTATAGTGATGGGGACACTATACTGTAAACAGGCGCCGTCCTTTGGATGAGACGTAAAACCGAGGTCCTGACTCTCTGTGGTCATTAAAAATCCTAAGGCGTTTCTCGAAAAGAGTAGGGGTGTAACCCTGGCGTCCTGGCCAAATTTCCCATTGGCCCTTACCAATCATGGCCTCCTAATAATCCCCATCTATGAATTGGCTTCATCACTCTGCTCTCCTCCCCACTGATAGCTGATGTGTGGTGAGCGTTCTGGCGCACTACGGCTGCCGTCGCATCATCCAGGTGGATGCTGCACATCGGTGGTGGTGGAGGGGAGTCCCCATTACCTGTAAAGCACTTTGAGTGGAGTGTCCAGAAAAGCGCTATATAAGTGTAAGCAATTATTATTAATTATTATTATTGTTTCCTAAGTTAACCAACACCTGATGGCTAACAAGGGAAATAAGGACTGAGTTGCCTTTGCTCTGCACTGCTCCATGGAGCAGGACAAGGTATTTTTGCAGTGTCATTCCGGGGCTAATCTGCTTCTCTCTCATTCCCTCTCTGTCTCCCCAGTTTTCTGCCCTGCTCCTATCAGACGTTCTGATTGGTTACCTGCACTCCAGTTGCCAAGCAATGGCAGCCCTCTCTCTTTCCAATGCCTGGCTCCTCCGACATGAATACCACCTGCTATACCTGCTGTTGAAGATTGCCTACAAACTGGTACTCTCCCAGCCTGTAAAAAGGCACACTGAACGTTCAAGTGATAAAAATCAGGTTCCAGTGATAATGGTAACTTGGGGGGATGGGGTTGTGGATCTCAGGCGATATGCAAGGTTTATCTTTCTTAAGATGTTTTAACTCTATTATTATTATTCTGACTTTGGCGGATTTCAAAAGGATTGATTAGAGCTTATCACTTATTCTGTAGAACATGTATTTCAGTTTGAGTTGAGTTGAAAATCACTAATTCTCTCAAGACGTCTGCATTTCCCCTAGTCCTGGCATAACCAGAAGCTTTGTGTGATTATTTCCTTTCCTATAGCTAAAAATTGAAGCAGCTGTTCTTGAGTTTCAAGTATTGAATCACTCCAGCCATCATCATCTTACCCTTTTGAAGAAAAAACAGTCCTAGTTAATAACTGGTTCATACAGTGCTACAGATAGGTACTTGGATTAAGTTAATTGCCAGTATTGAATTGGTGTTCTCTTTTAGGCTTCACCGATTGTATTCATTTGGCCGTGTGTAAACACATCTCTTTTTAGTGTATTGAAGCAGAGATGAAAACTACTGCTCTTTGTCCATAGATTTGTTAAGAAAAAAATAATCTGTTTATTAGCACTGACTTGCACTCAGTGTTTTAACTAAAAGCCATCTCTGGAAGTGGTTTAGGAGGGAGTCACCTGCAGCGACATTTAAGGAAATATTTAAAGATAACAGTTCTACATCCAGCTCTCAAGCACATCTGCAGTTTATCGAAGAAATTACCAGCTCAAGAGCAGAACCATCAGGAGTAACTAAGCCAGGGTGTACAAATGATGTTTTCGTTTTATTTAAGTAAACCTTTTTTAATTATATGTTTTGTTTTAGGTTCCAGTAAACTCAGAGGTGTCCAAGCATGCGGCGCTATACCACCAAGTTGCCATGGCAATGGTTACACGGCTGTTGCCAGGTAGTGAATACCTGGTTCACGATCTTCTGTCTACAGTGATCTTTAACCACGACTTTGTCCCGTGAGTGTTACATTGTTTCAGGTCTGCGGAAGAGTTAGTGCAGCACAGTTTTCGGTTTTAATGTGTCTTTCACGTTTCTTTAGGCAGCCCTGGGAAAGAGCTGTTGCAAGTGTAATTTCCTGATCCCTGTTCTGGAAAGCAGTTTCTAGAAAGGAAGTGGAATTTTCCATCCCTTGCCTGTCAGTGACCTGCGTTGCTGCAAAAGTTCCAGTGGAGAGAGGGGGTAACAGGTCCCATCGTGTAAGATGAGACCGTTATGTTGGTGTCTCTGCCTCCAAATCTCTCAAGAGCTTTCCAGCAAAGGATGTCCCCGTTGACATTGTCGTTTAGGGGCCCCACTCGGGCTGGGTGTGTCTGCGGTGTCATTCTGACACTCAGGATCTGACTGAGCATCCCACATGCACGTGTCATTCAAAAAAGAACCAGTTCTGGAACGCTACTTGTATTAGTATGCCTTTCTGAATTATAATCTCTGTAGTTTATTCACGATCGTCACACAGCCTGTGTTTAATGCACTTTGGTTTTCAAATATTTCATAAAGCATCATGGCATCAGATTCATCACTCCGCACACAGGAGAGAGGTGTGCTTTGTGGTACTATGAAAGGAGTTCCCTGGCTCCTATACAGCTCTTTGCCAGAAGCCGTCTTTGATTTGTTCAAGTGAGAGCCGAGCGTGTAAACACGCAAGTCTTATTTTGTTGTTTTTCTCTTTTTTTAAAATAGAGTTGGTTTAAAGCAGCCCCCTTGAATTTTAAAGTCTGAATCCCGAAACATCAGAAACGTCTCAGTAAACTTAATCTTTTCGGAGAAGCTGCTGGAAAGCAAAACTGAAAAAAACAAAAAAAGGCTCGATGTCTGAGCTTATCAAACCCTGAAGAGTGATGACAAATGAACAAGCTCATGGGGTGGAATGGCCTGCTGTTGTTTTTGTAACCTTTCGTAGGGTGTTGGTAGTTCTCGCCAGAGACACTGGGGAGCAGAAACATGGGGCTGGTCTTCCCGGCTCCCTCTTCCTCAGTGTCTCTCCGGGGTTTTAGGACTGAGCCTGCAGAATTGAGGGAAGCGACAGTGCAGACTGACATACCTTTAGATTTTAAATTTTTATTTTGAATCCAGATTTTATTTTGAAATAAATAGATTTTAATCAAAAATAAAAAAAGTCACTTCAAGTATCGACCTTAATATGCAAATTAAAAATGGAAATGATTGGAATCTCACGAAGGCTTTTCTTTCTGGGATTTGTCCGAGTTTGGATGACTTGCATTTTGAGCAGGAAGTGAAGGCTTTTGCCTTTAAGTTATATGACGGGTTGTTGCTTGTGTAAATGTGCAGTACCCCACTTAGGTGCAAATCTCTCAACATAATCAAGCAAATATGGTTATTGCACTGCAGCAGTCTGGGGATTCATGTGTGGTCATGGAAACACTTGGCACAACCTTAATTGGGTCATAAAATCACTGTCAACACTTGGATCTTGTAATGGCAGTACATCACAATATGGCCTAAGAGATATCTCTTCAAGGACATTTTTAAAACTGGAGTATGGATTGCTAACAGAAAAAATCCTAAAGTTTAAAAATCTGAAGACACGCAGGATTTTTTCTAATTCAGTGTTCATAGGAGATGATTCCTTGGATATGTAATTATGGGGGGTATTATAACTTATTATAACAAAAAAAATTAATGTCTTATAGTATAATTTTGAATGTTTTGCTTTTAGTAAAAACGAGGCCAGAGATTCTTAAAACCACAATTGGACTGTTCTCTCTGAACAGTTTTTTTCTGTAGCCTCTAGATGGTGCCCAAGAGCTTTCTTAAGATGTAATGTTCAATAGAGTTTTGTATTTTATATTTGGCAAATGAAATGCATTCCTGTTATTTGCTTAGTGTGCAATGGATTTGCCGCCAAACTCATCCTGTTCATTCCTTGTTTGAGAAGGATGCTACTGCTACAGTAGTATAAATGCTTTAATTGGATTGGATTGTCATGAGTGTTGGCTCCTGATGTGATCCTGTTTCTTGATTTTCCAGTGAGGGGCGCTGTGGAGGTCCAGAAGCTGCAGATCTCTCCCAGCTGCTGCAGCTGCAGGATATCTCCCCCTCCCACCCTTCCCATGGGGCACTGCTGCGGGATGCTTGTGCTCAGCTCCCTTCAGTGCGTGGGTGCTACCTCACTCATCTGGCTCACCTGGAACCCAGTGTGCTGAGGTCTAGGGACTCTTATCTGGGTTGCACCCCTTACGTGAGCTCCCAGCTCCTCCCTGAGCTCACTGGGCCTGTCTTGCCGTCGGACTGGGCTTTCCTGCCACTTGTCAGCTTATATGAGCGAAATGGGAAAGAGGAGTCTGGCGGGCGACCCGTGGAGACGGCTCCCACAAACTCCATTGAGTCTGCCACACACTGCCTGCAGTGGCTGCTGGTCCTGGAGACTTGGCGTGAGGGCGCGCTAAAGGCCGTGCCACCGGCTGCCAAGCTGTGCCGCCTCGCCTGTGTGTTCTTGTGCAGCAGTGACTTGTTCCTGGAGCGTCCCGTACAGCACTACACCTGGGGGTTGCTCCATGCACTGTGTCGCCCCACCCAGCAAGAAGCCCTAGACCTTGGGGTACCCCTACCCGGTCTAGCCTCCTTCCATGACCTCTACTCTGCCCTCCTCACTCAGTTTGAGGGTGTTTCCTTTGGGGACCCGCTCTTTGGCTGCTTCCTGCTTCTGCCCCTTCAGAGGCGCTTCAGTGTAGCCCTACGTTTGGCTGTCTTCGGGGAACACGTGGGCCTGCTCCGCTCCCTTGGGGTCACACTGCAACAGGTGAGACATCACCCTTCACCTGTGTTAACAGCTCATGAGGCCCCTGGCGCTGTAGGCGTTGGAATGCTCAAATCTGACATTCACCAGGTAGGCCGCACGTGTGAGAATAGGCTGCTACGCGTGCGTTTTGAGATGACATTGTGTGAGCTGTGGCCAAGCTGTAGTATGTGCTATGTGCTGTAAGGTTTGCTGTGAGTGTCTCTCTAACCTACTGATCTTATGATGTCTGTCTCTCTCATAGCTGCCTGTCCCTCTAGAGCGCTTTACTTCCCCCCCAGAGGAGTCCGTGTCTCTACTGCGGATGTATTTCCGGACCCTAGTGACAGGGACACTACGCAGGGTCTGGTGCCCTGTCCTGTATGTTGTTGCCCTGGCTCATCTCAATGCTTTCATCTTCTCCCAAGACCTGGCTCCACAGGTACCAACTGATGGAACTCGCACAGAACCTGTCTCTCGTATTCAGTTTGCGTGACTGCGTGGAGATCAGGAGCGCATTTGGTTTTAGTGGAGGATTTTAATTCATGCGTAAAGAAACAAAAGATGACAGTTGGGATTTACTTTGACCTCGGACATCCCTTTCTGGGATCATTGGAGCAAAAGAGTTCAGGAAGGTGTGTGTCTTGTGGCTCTTGATCTAAGGATGTCTCTGTCTCTTACCAGGAGGTTGATGCCGCTCGGAGAAGTCTCCTGAGGAAGACCTACTATTTGACAGATGAGGTATGGTTCAAATTCTGCCAGATTCTGATCTGATCTTTGGTTCTCTTTATTTTATTGCTCTTGTCATTCCATCTTCTGGATTTATATTGAATCCATTCCTCTCTCCCTCTGTGCCAGACTCTGAAAAACCACCTGCTTCTGTTCAAACTGCCAAAGAGAGAGAGCGAGCTGGGTTTTGAGATGTACGACCGGCTCCCCTCCGTCAGAGAGAGAAGGCTGGAGAGCGTGCTGAAGAGAGAGGAAAGCAGTGAGGGGGAGAGGGCTTGAGCCACGTTTCCACTTGAGGGAATTAAAGGAGCATTCCCAGGGACAAAGACAGCACTCAGCCTCACCAGTTGGTGCATTCTGGCGGTCACTGCCTTTTCTTAGTCGCTTTTCAGCAAGAAGAAAGGAAAATAAAACTGGAGGCTGAGAACTGTGTCCAGCAGACCTGATGGATGCAGTGCTGTATCAAATCTGGATGGATGTTTTGGAATAAAATCTTTTTTGATTCAGTTTAATGTGAAACATATCTTTGATTGCTTTTTATTTAATTTTCTTATTTTTTCAATGATTGCTGGCCAAATGTGGAATATCTTGTCTTGACAGCATTCCAAGCTGTATGCTCAATAACTTCCAGGCAAGCTGTGAGAGTTTGTCTGCTTTCTGGACACGCATCACCTTCTAATTGTGTCTGTGTGATTCTTAAGAAATCTCATGCCTGTGTACAGTCAGCTTGTTCTTGGATTATCAACAACATGCATTTTGAAATGCTGTTGTTGGCTTGTGGCACGCAGCAGTATTCTGAGACTGCTTTTGCCACTAATATTGGGCAGATTTTTGGCTTCAGTTATCGTAGTGTTCACTAAATGTTTTGTATGTCATACAATCACTGTGCAGTTTATTTTTCTCTTAATGCTTCAGATCACATTACACTTTGGCCCATTAACAGTCAATGGCAGCAAAATTATAGATACCCACTCAGTATTTAAGAAGAAACAGTGTCTTATTGTGCTTTCAGTCTACCCTAGTGAAGGCAAAGTCTGATCTGCAAAATGTTTTTTCTCTTTTCAATAAACATTGAAATGACCCTTTTTAAGATACCATATCTGCTGTGTGATGGTCTACAAATATGAATTCCCAATTATGTACAGTAAACCTGTAAGTTGCACAGTATGTAGTTTATTCAGTTCAGAAGAGGTTAGTGTTTCACCAGGCTCATGTATTGAATCTACAAAGTATGTGGATTCAGTGAGGATCAGGTTAATCAGAAGAGGGTGAGAAAGGAAGATAAAAGAGTAACTACTGGTGCTGGGTGTATGTGTGACTCTGTCTTTGTATAACAAAGGATGGCACTGACAAGGCACTATTAGGTCTGATCAGAAGACTGGACTGGTAATCAATAAGCAGTCAATTTAAAGCATGGCTGTTAAAACACTTCTTCCCTTCTGCATTCTGAACTGAAGACAGGACACGAACAGCTAACAGTGGCAAAAGCAATTCAGATACTGTAATGTACATGTCCAGCATCTGTGGTTCATTTACCATGAAGAACACAGTAATTGGATGTTATATTTGCACAGCAAATTACTGTGACATAGCTGTGGGAAATATACTTCATGTAAACTAAAAAAAAGGCTCAGGGAATGAAGTTCACATTGGCATGCTGTAGAATACTGTAATTAACCCCCAGGGAATGATAGAGACCTACACTGCTATCTCTAATAGCAGTTATCTGCAATGTGTTTAGTTGTTCATTGTAAAATATTTTTTGTTTGCCTAATGTGCTATAATGGCTTGTCTTGAGTTTGGCACGTTACTCAGATTGCTCTGTACAGAGCAGGTGTGTGTGGGATCTGGGTGTTAGAGTCCTGCAGCTTCTCAATCCTTTTAGATGTACAGAGCTGCAGGGCACCAGATGGAGACCTCCAGTTGTGGTGAAGGATGATAATTGTAGCACTTAAACAATATGCAGAAAGTTATTCATTTTTAACTTTTTTAATTTTTGACTTCCTGGGGTGCAATTACCTCATTTGGCCCCTGGGGATCCTTGCAGGGTTTATATTCTTGGATACAATTCAAGACTGGGCAAACACCTGGCAGGCGACAAGGGAGGAGTATTCCATCAGGACAGTGAAAATATAAATGACAAATGGGAACTGAGCTTCAAGAAACAAAATAAAAATGCGGGGACACCATCTTATTGTTTAGAGAATGTGGGGAAGCAATGAAAAAGCAAACAGAATCTATACATAGTAGTGATTTAAATCAATGTTCAGTCATTCGATGCCCTAATAAAACCTTTAAAATCTAATTTTTGCACATCACATTAGTACACAACCCAAAGCATTCCAGGACACAAAGGAATGTTATACTCTTACGGGCTAAAAGACTTAACTTGATCAGAGAAAATTGCAAGGGAACCTTAATTCAAGTATTCAAAATCCTCGCAGGTCGATCTGAACTCTCAATGAAACGTGACCAAGATTACACAAAGGTAATGGTGTCATGACATCAAACCCCAGATACAGTATGTGTAGCTTATCATTGAAGTGCCAGAACAGAAGGTTTTGCACAAAGCTTGGAAGACAAGTGTGTGTTATTTTCATTTCAGCAAGTCTGCTAACAGGAGGCCTCAGTGCTACTTCAAATTAAACAAAACAAAATAAAATATCTATATTAGATATTATGGGGAAGAGTTGGATTGATGCCCTGATTGCAGATACCAGTCACACCGGTAAGATTCAGAATTCCAGAGGAAAAAAGCAATTATTAAACACCTAGTCCTTTGTAAGGTGTTTGTGCTTTGGTTTGGAGCATTAATTCACTATGTCTCAGCTTTACTTTAATAGAAAATCGCCCAGGTCTTTAGAAATTAGACTACAATTGTAAGTTTGCTAAATATACAGAATGAATTACTGTGATGCTTCGTGTGAGTCATTTTAAAAGCACAGTGAAAAAAAACAACAAATGAATAAGAGATGCAATGTAAGAAAATCACACATTGTATTCACTCAAAATGACATGACCTGAAGATTGTATGTGTGTAAAAGTGGAACTTCATCAGAGAACTCTCAGGAGTTCTTAAGACGAAATTCCACTGTGGCTTCAAAAAGGCATCTCTTTCCCTTTCTGCAGTTTTTCCTGAAGATAATTGCGTATCAGGTTAAGAGGAAATTATCTAGGAGGAATTCTGTTGCTGTTTTCCACTGGGAGTTGTGGCCTTCTAAAATGAAATGCTGGTAAGCCTTATCCAATAAAGAGAAATATTGACTGACACGGTTCACTGTGTGTGCAGTACACGCCCACAGTGACAGTGTCTCTTCAGGTGGGAGACCTGAGGCTCATTGGGATTCCAGAGGCGTGCAGAAACAGTCATATCTATTCTCCCCGAGGGCCTGGGTTTTCATTTGCTATATCATTCTGCCTGGTTTCCGAGAAAATGAGCTCTGCAGCTTCAGGCTCTTTATAAACCACTGAATCTCTGTGTACTCCTGGAACCCCTAATCAAATCTTTCATCTTTTCCTCTTCGTTCTCATGCATATTTGGTTTCATTCCTCTCCTGCCTGCTTACATAAACAACTTGCCCTGGATGCAGGGCAGATACGGAGAGAACCGCATTCCTCTGCAGAGCATTTGATTTTCCACCGGGAGGGAATGGAGTGTGTTGAGGGAGGTGCAGACCACAGTTACAAGTCCTGATCTTTGAAGAAGAACTCTCACTGGTGATCTGTGCAATGAAAATGTCACCACAGCTTTGAAACACTGAAATGTCATGTTTTTAACTTGTTCCAGGACAACTCTTCTTTTTCTTTCTCCAGCAAAAGTATTAATAAAGAAGATGATTTTAACCAGCAGGACAATCCCTGAGCAGTTAGAAGAAGTCTGCATGTTGTCCATGTGTTTGTCCTGCCAGGCTGTGGAACACTACTAGCAGCAGTTGGGCAGGAATACTGGTAACAGATTCCAATCTGACAAATTGAAATCAGAAGTGATGCAGCTGTGCTCTGCAGTGACACCCTTGAGTTTTCTAGTGAAATCATTTTGTGATGGAAAATCTGACATTTGCAGTACAGTTACAACCACATGTTCATGTTCACATATGGTGTGTCCTAAGAAACTAGAAAACTAGCTACAGTAGATCTAACTGCTTCTGGTTCACCAGGCTTGTCACACAGCCAGCCTAAGACAACAGCTCTCAGACACTTTATTATGTTAAAGAACAAGGACTGCAATAGGTTTATTCCATGGTGAAAAGAGAAGAAAGGAAACACAACGTTTCGGCTGTTGTGTTCGGCTCCCACAGCCGAAATGTTGTTTCCTTTCTTCTCTTTTCAGCATGGAATAAACCTATTACTTGTTCCTTTGCAGACTTCGCATGCTGACGCAGCTACCCACCTGAACTACTGTATAATGTAGATCGTGGACAGTCTTAAATAATTACTTTCCAAAAAAACTTGTAGTGTAGTAGCTGCAACTATAAAGTTAATAGGGCCTATTCTTGGATGACATTTGACTGAACAGAGCGTGTCTTAATTGAATTGTCAGTATGCGTCACATTGAAAATTGTTAGTGTGATCGATATCTAGATTCCACCAGTGTGTGTCACTGTTACACAGTTCAATTCAGAAAGGTCAGTTCCAACCTTCCTTGTCCAGTGACATGCACATTTGTGTGAATGTGTCGGCTTATACTCCTGCTATATAGACCTCACCAGAGTAATTAATGCATCTTTCATCTTAAACAATAATTTAATCTTTACTAAATGCACACTCAATTTTCATATCTGTGGTATTGTTTTGTGGATTGGCACCTTTGATCATTAACTGTTTCCTTCAGAGCAATGACAGCACATTTTTCATGGCTTTGCTTTCCGAAAATTGCAATCATCACAGTTCTTATAACAACGTGAAAGATCTTGCGTGTTATATGACACGGTGCATTTACATTTCTAGAAGATGTTTGGAAAGAATAATATAGAATTTTAGAATTTAGAATGATTTCTACTTGATAGTTAATAATTTAAACATGTTGCTGCTATTTTTAAATTAAAAAAAATGTAATCAAATTCCAGATTGTAGACATTCAAGCAAATTAATGTATTTAGAACAGATTAATGGAAAAATTTGATATACCGATATACATGATATACTGTAATTAGTCAAGTACCACTGCTCTAATTAATTCAATGATCTATATTCTGGTATAGGAGGTAAACTAGTGATGTTTGCAGACACCAAACTAAGAGGATAAAAAACACTATAAAACCTTCAAAGAAAAATAATAAAGAATTAGATATACTGTAATCTGCATAATGTAAACCAGTGCAGAGTATTATATGTAGTAAAAATATTAACAATACAAATAAGATGGGAAACCTTCTTGTGAAAAAGACTTATGTTTCTTATGTGAACACATTTTAACACATTTTAGAAAGCAGTAAAAAAGTGTGAAAAGTGTTGAATTTAAAGCAAGGGAGGTTATGTTAAATTGTCTAGTTCATTATTAGGACCACATTTGATAAAGTATATATACAGTATATAAAATTGTAAACAATTTCAATCACCAGTCTAGCACAAAGATGTTTCCAATTTGGGAACAAGCCACAGAAAACCAAATACATTCTCAGTTTTAAAGTCAAATCCCACTCTGACAGGCAAAAAGAATGACATATTTTTCATTTTTTTATGAGGGGCTTCCTTCCATCCATCCATCATTTAACATTGAGAATGGGGGATTTTTTTTAGGAAAAAATGTGTGGATGAGATCCTTGGATCAATTAGCTACAATCAATCCAATGACTTAGATTGGCTGAATGGCTTCTTCTCAATTGTAACAAATCTTATGTTCTTTGCTGTATGTTCAGGCATTCTGTTTGCATTGTCTGAATACTAAAGCTTTGTAGTCCTGAACAGAGAAGGCTAAGAAGGAACCTAATACAAATATACAACATTCAAAACCCTTAAAGGCACTGACAGCCCAGAGTATTTCTTCAGAATGAACAAACGCGAGGGCACAAGTGGAAACTGTGAGGAAGAACAGGAGGCACCTCATTCCCCAAAGGCCTGTGTAAAACAGAACTGGGGCAA